ATAAAAAAAGAAGGGGATTACCGCTGGAGGGGAGGTCGGAAGTTGTGTGGTCCTTGGATGAGGGGAGGTTTGTTGGGATTCCTCCAAGTCCCACACCGGAGGGAGAAGAAAAAATGGACCAAAATATATAGGTTCACCCAACCCCATTAGTATGAGGCCTTTTGGGAAGTGCCCAAAAACAAATCCGTGAGGGCTTGGCCCAGAGCGGACAATATCATACTAATGCGGGGTTGGGGTGAGGGCACGCGCAGTCCCAACAATATCTGCAATTTGACATTATTGTTCACAATTCATTTTGTTTTTTTAACATTATTTTGTAATGTTGTTTGAATTGATTTGAAACTCTAATTTTGGTGTATAAAATATAAATTTAGTTCAAACATGATATTTATTTCTAAATTTAGGATAATAAACCGTACCATTGGCTTTCCTAAATAAAAAAAAAATAAAAAAGGGGCAATTGTTACTTCTATTCCATGCGTCTCGAAATTATCGTGTTATTTTGGCTTTTATAGTCATGTAATTACAAGGTGTAGAAAAAGTGTATTTGATTATAATGAAAATTTAATATGATAAGAACCATACAAAATATATTCCAATTTAAGATTTATTTTTGATATATTAAATTTTATAACATTTATTTCATTAGTGATTAAAGGATATAAAATAAAACTAGAATAATAATTTTGGCACGGATAAAGTATAAGATTTAAATTCCTAGACTAGAGCGTTATTTGAATGTTCTTTTGTATGACGCTAAGAACGTTATGAATACGAACTAGGTATGGATACTTTCTTTTATTTAAAACTATTGTTCTTAAAGTGTGTAACAACCATCCGTTGTCGTCCAGCGGTTAGGATATCTGGCTTTCACCCAGGAGACCCGGGTTCGATTCCCGGCAACGGAATTTTTTGCTGCGATTGTGAGTTTCGACCCGGGAAAAGATTTGGGCCTGACCCAATTTGATGAAGAGTTCGAGTCCAATTGAATAGTACGACGTAGGCTGGAAAATATAAGGCCCAGACCCAATTTGAATAAACCAGCATTGTAAGCCCTTGTCATATCACGTGTTGCTTGGGTGTGATTGTTTCCCTTAAGTGCACCATTTTTGTTTGTCACTCAATGACTTTTGATTTAGTCAATGACTAGTGATTTACTCCCTATTGTGATTTACTTCATTTTTAATCCACCCTCCAATTCCAAAATTTAATCTCGCCACATTGTTGTAGACTAGTACCAGATCATAATGTTCAAAAATACTATAATTATATCATTGTTTAAGAACAATATATGAAAAGAAACTAAAGCTTTCTATTATTTTCAATACTTTGTGTGTGATGATTAGATTGGATGTCTGATGCCTATCTGCCTACCATTCAATTTGAGAATTTATGTGGAGGCATCAAATAAAGTTGATGTCAGAGAAGCTAGAAAAGAGATGACTTGGTATGTGCTCGAATATTAACATGAAGAGATGGAGCATGACCAGAACATAGTCAACTTCTGTAGTCAGCATATTTTGATTGATCAACCTTTAAGAGATTTTCCTATATTTTCAATTGACTTTTTAGCATGCATTGAGTAGGTTTGAGGGATGAGTAGTTCTGTATTTGCATTGTACTTTGTAATGTCGTTGCGTTCATTTCTTTTTTATAGGTAGTCTGAAAATGTTTCTTCAAAATGTCTCTAAGTGTTACTTCAAACTGTAATATTTTGTCAATGGAATTGTGTAAAAATGGGTATATTTTAGGGTTTACAGCTATTCTATGTTTGTCTTTTGTATAAATCATTTCTGAATTTTGTTGCCTACTAACTCAAAAGATATAGAAATATGCATTTGTGTGGGCATTAGAGCATCCATAATGGTAGCATCCCTCGCTAATGTTAAAGTGTGGACTCTACTCTAAAAACACCAATTGAGCACCTCTTTCAACATATAAATCTTTCAATAGTGGCATCTCATATGGATGCCTCATTTTATTCAATGAATGTAAGGGGTCCACATAAATATAATTATATTTTATTTTCTTAATTATAATTATTTATTATCTGATAAATTTTTTAATTAAGATTAATTATTTACTCGTTATTATTAATATTACCTTTGTCCTAGAATACATATCTAATTTTGACTTTTTACATTTAAATTAATAAAATTTGGTCTATAATTAAATAAAACTTATATTAGATATTGATACAAAAATAAATTTCTTAGATTTATCTTGTAAAATATTTTAAATTTTTTTATGTAATTAATATATGATGTATTTAATATTATTTCAAAACAAACAGAAAAACAAATACCTAAGAAAATTTTCAAAATAAATAAATAAAAAGAGGCATTCCATTAAAAAAGCGTTCGAGTTCTAAAACATTGCCATATCTAATTAATAATAATAAAAACTTTTGAGCCTTTAAAAAAACTATGAATGCAAACTTTCAAATTGAAGAAATAATAATTATGACACATGGCACATACATATTGGAACAAAAATCTTGAAAAATAAATGTCTCAATTCTTCCATCCTCAAGCATCGGGTGCTAGGCCAAGCATCTCCATTTCCTTTTTCTCTTTGAGCATCTATCTATAATAATAACATCCATCAACATCTTACTTTCTCTCTTCCTAGCATCTCTTTTGAGCGCCCCATTTGAGATGGCCTTATAGTTGACCCTTAATGAAATTGTCATTCATCCATAATCATGTGGTTGTGAAGATGCACCCAATATACCATGATAGGATTTAGGATTGGGTAGAGACAAGTGGATTAGGTTTTAAGACACTTGGGTTGAACCACATTAAGAGATTAAATCCAATCAATTAGTTAGTTTTAACTCAAAAGCTTATATACCGGATTATTTTACTCTTGGACTTCCGATGTGTGATGTACTCTAACAACCCTGTATAATGGAAAATCTCAAGTCCAAGGTATTCTGCAAGCAACAACTTCCAAGCAACACATACTTATGTAAATATGGATTTTCAAGAGAAATGTGTGTACGAAGAGGTTTAGTTTCTGCATTTATTTTTTCTTGGATATGTTTGTCATTGGCACTGAATACCTGGTTGTGTATCTTTGTCTTCTACACACCTACATTTAGCGCTCATGTGAGTCTATTTGTGTTGGTGCACACAATTCGGTTGGGGTACAAAATTTCATGATAATCAAAGACTAACAGTCATCATGTTTTCATGTGCTTGTATGATAATCGAAGTTTGATGCCCAACAAAGTTTGTGATGTAAACTCTAATCATATTTCCTAGATAGACTTTAATGTTCTTTTTATTTAAGGATATGTTCTTGATTTTGAATGTGGCAAAAATATAATATCCCGTTTCCATCGGACAAACACTTTTTGTCTGTTCATACTTAAATACTACTTCCTCTCTACTAAAAAAGAGTTCGAATTTTGACCAAGTATAAAAATAAGGCAGTCTTAAATCGTAGTTGACTTCCTATTTTACTCTTGGTGTGATGAATAAAAGTAAAATATGATTGATATATTTTTAGAGGAAAAATTTGATATAATAGGTAGAATATGAAAAAAATAAGGGTAAAAATAGATTTTTAATATAAAAAAATTGAAGTATTTTTGTTGGGAGTGAAAAATTTGAAAAATGAAGTTTTTGAGTAACATAACACTAGGCCAAATAGCTTCCATGCCCCCTGTGGTTTGGAAAATTGGTACCAATACTCCATCTGTTTTCAAAACTTATTTCTAAAATCCCCGTGGTTTCAAAACGTTGCACCCACACCCCCTCCGATCATTTTCCGGCCATTTTCCGGCGAAGAGGGGGCATTGGCGCATAATTTCTAAACCACGGGGGGCATTCATGCTCATTTCTTATTTTCGTTTATTATTCTTCCCTTTTTTAAAATATCTTCTATCTTTTTTTCATTTTCCTAGATTTTTTTAAAAATATATTTTCAATTTTTTATAATGTTTCAAAAATTTTAAAATTTGTGTTTGAAATAAAAAAAAAAAAATTTAACATACATAAAATCTATATCAAATTAAACATTTTCACATTCCGTTACTTAGAATAGATTTTTGAAAAGTTCAAAAAAAAACCTAGAATAAAAAAAATATGGAAAAACGAAATGAAAAAAATTAAAATATGAAAAAGAAGTCTTATACAAAAAAAATTAGACACGCGTAAAAAAGTCCTTAGAATTAAAATGTCCAAAAAGGATATTCATTTTTATTTTTGTATTATTTTATTTCTTATTTTATTCCTCATTTCTTGAAGTCTCAAAAAAAATTTACTTTTTTTTAGAAAAACAAAAATTGTTAATTTGAGACGTACATATGCATTATATCTTAATTTTTTCTAACAAAAGTAACTTTAAATTTTAAGAAACATTATAAAAAAATCTTTATTAATAAATGAAATAAAAATGGAAAAAATGGAAAAAAATAGAAAAAACAAAAAATATGCAAGAAATAAAAATCAGCACTAATACCCCCTATGGTTTAAAAAACATGCACCAATACCCCCCTCCTCGCCGGAAAAATAGCCGTAAAATGATCAGAGGGGGCACAGATGCAGCATTTTGAAACCGCGTGAACTTTAAAAATGAGTTTTGAAAACAGAGGGGGTATTGATGCTTGTTTTGCAAACCACGAAGGATACCGGCGCTATTTAGCCATCCCATATACCCCACCCAACAATACTTCTCCAACTCACTCCTCTCTCTTTCTCTCCGCTATCTCTGTTTCCATTTTTCTCCCACCGGAGCACAATCCCCGCGCCGCCGCTGTTGGTCGCTCTTCTGTATGAAGCGGCGGTGAAGCCAAGCAGACAGATTTGGCTAGACCTTGATCCTCCCTCCTTCCTGTTCATTGAGAAAAGCATCGACGCCTGCGTGAAGAGGTAGTCACCGCCCACTACAAATTAGATAAATCATAATTGTACTTTAAAGCTTAAACTCTTAATTTTTACGGAGTAATTCTTTTTTGTTTCTTTCATATTATTCCAGCTCTTTCCCACTATCCTCGTTTTTATCAAACTCCTATTCCCAAACAATTCCTTTAAAAACGATGTATTTTTAATGTGGTTATTATCATTATTACTATTATTATCATAATAATAATTAGTATTAGTAATATTATTAGTATTATCCCCATTATAGTTATTATTACTCTATATTATTATTATTATTACAACTATTATATTCATAATTACAGTTTATAAATTATTTTATTTTTTACTTTTTTCCATATCATTATTTTTATGATTGACACTCTTCTAAATTAATCAGGAAACATTTTTAAAATTTTTATAAAAAATTTTGTAACTTAAAATATATTAGATAAAAAAACTAAACTAGGAGTCAAATATAAGAGTTACAATGTCAATCATGAAAGAAAAAGATAGATTTCTCCTAATGTGACCATTTCAAGCCTACTATCATGCTCGAAGTTGTTGTCTCAAATGATTTTGGCTTACAAGCGTGAATACTATTTGGCGATGGAATATAGCCAAATTATTCCACGATTGTCAAGTCCTCTCTGAACCAATGTGTCTTAAACCTTAGACCTACAAAATAGCTCATGAAGCGGCGAGAAAAGATATTGAATCAGCCTTCGGGGTGTTGAAAGCAAAATGGCACATTCTAGATAGTCCGTCCAAATGCTTTTCTCAAACAAAAATGAGGAATATCATGTGCACATGTATTATTCTTTATAATATGATCATAGAGGACAATGAGTTTGCGATTTGTCATTACAACTTGGAAGAGAAAATGCCTATGTACAAAGAAATCGATGAAGAAAAGAAACGGAGAAACCGCCAAGAAATTCGAAACCGAGAGATTCGAAATGACTAACGGCGGATTTGATGGAACACAACTTAAGTCGCTCAAATAATCAGTAATTTGTTCGTAATGTTATTTTTTATGGATGTAATATTTTTATTTAATGAATGTCCGGGTATTTCCAGGACTTTTAGCACGATTGAAAGTTTAAATATGAATAATAATTCTTCTTTAGAGCTTAAACTCTTAATTTCTAATTTCATTTTGTTTCTTTCAATTCTTTTCAATTTTTTCCAATTATTTTCATTTTTCATCAAACTCTTATTCCCCAAACAATTACTTTAAAAACAATGTATTTTTAATGTGGTTATTATCATCATCATTACTCCGTATAATAATAATAATAAGAATATTATTATTCTTATAAATAGAAATAATATTTAGTATTATTATTATTAAATTAGTATTATCTCCATTATAGTTATTATTACTCGGCATTATTATTATTATTATTATTCAACTATTACTATATTCATAATTATAGTTTATAAATTATTTCATTTATTTTTTTTCTAAATCACTATTTTTACGATTGACGCTCTTCTAAATTGATAAGGGAAACATTTTTCAAATTTTTGTAAAAAATTTTGAAAGTTAAAATATTTTAGAGAAAAAAACTAAACTAAGAATAAAACATAAAGATATATCAAAATGTGAGTTCTATGTTTTTAATCCCAGAATAAGAGTTATAATGTCAATCATGAAAGATAAAAATAGCTTTGATCATATTATGTGATAGGTCAGAAATTTAAAATAAAATCTTGTTACATATAAAGTATAATTACAAATATATTATTTTAACACTTTAATAAACAGATATGAACCATCAAGACAATAAATTTTTAAAATTTAACACTTTAATATTTATACTACTTATATATATATATATATATATATATATATATATATATATATTCTAATTAAATAAATTTTTGCAGAAGTAAATTTTTGTGTATAAAAAGGAAAATACTTTTTTATCTTGAAAAAATTGATTAAGATAACGTGATTATAAATATAATAATAAAACTAATAATAATAGTAAAAAAAATAAATTGTAACAACAACAGTTAATAGTTTTCTTAAAAAGAGTTTTCATTTTTTATAGGTTTTCTAGTTTCTTCAAGTTTTTTTTTTAAAAATTTCCAATTTTTTTGGTCTTTTTAGTTTTTTCAGTTTCTTCGAGTTTTTTCCAATTTTTAAGTTTTTTCCAACATCCAGCTATTTTCTCTGAGTCCTGAAGAATATGCCCTTAGTGTTTTTAATCTATAAATTACTTCTTTCGGTCCTAAAAACTCTTTCTGTTTTGACTGTTGTTGCTAAAACGATAACACTCCTTGACCACAATATGTGAGAAAAATATATTGAATTATAATATAAATTCAATATAGTTTTATTCATTTTAAGATCTAGTTTTGGTATATCAAATTTTTCTAAAATTTATCTATTTAGATTATGTTTAATTTGTGATCAAAGAGAGTCACTGTTAGACTAAAAAAATCAAAATAGAAAGATGATTTAGGACTCTATGAAGTAATATATTAATAAAGAAATTTTACTACGGGTAAAACATGAAGAAATTATTAAAAAAAGAGTTCCATATTTTAATCTAAAATAAAACTATTGCTCTATTATATCTTCCAAACTACTTGACACAAACAAATAATAATAATAATAATCATAATTGATTGGATTTGATCTGATTTGGTCTGATTTGATTGGATCTAAACTGATCTGGTTAGATATAATCTGATTAGATCTGATTTTAATAAAAATAAAAAAACAGAAAAAAATAAGTTGAACGGAATGAGTGCTTAGGCCATGTTCTCATTAACTTAATTTCTACTTATTACTCCCTCCGTCCTATAATGATCTTCCCAGAGCACTATTCCAACTTCACGAGAATTTATATTTATTTGTGTTTTTTCATGGCCTATATGATAAAATAAAATATTCTTGTCACCACTTGTTTTGTTGAACTTTTGATGTAGTTTTTAAATATGTATGTTTTATTTTTTTATTTGTATACCAATATTTAAATAAAATAGATTGAAAAAACTTGGGATTTTTCTTCGTTTTGCGAACCGGGAAGATCATTATAGGACGGAGGGAGTACTTATTTTTATCAGAATCATACCAGAACATACCAGAATCATATTTAAATATAACTATACTCAGATCAGAGCATACCGGATTAGATCAGATCATAACTTATTCCAATCAGATCAAAACCATTCATATCAGATGAACAACACAAAACCTTATTTTTATGCTTTTTACTTATTTTTATTAAAATTGGATCAGATGAGATATAATAAGATCTAATCAGATCAAATTTAATTAGACCATATCAGTTCGAAATAGATTAGACAAAATCAAATCCAATCAGATTAGATCAGGTCAAAAAATAATTAAAATAATATTAATATTTTTTCAAGGATTAAATAATAATTACTATACGATTATAGGACGAACGAAGTATTATTATTATTATTATTATTATTATTATTTAATTACATCAGATTTAATAAGATGAGATATAATCAGATGAAATCAGATTTAACTAGATCAGATAAGATTTAATATCAAAATTTCAAAGTTCTTAATTGCGAGCGTTATTATTTATTTAATTTATGCAAAATACTCCGACTATTAGAGCTCTAGCAATGGCATTCCATTACTATGCCACGCACTGCCAGATCATCAAGTGGAGGCTTGGTGCCATGCGTGTCTAGAGCGTGTCACCTCTTTCTTCGTGGAGTGTGAGGCAAATACAGAGTATATACTAGCGTTTTTTTGTGTTTTCTTTTTATCTTACGCATTTTTGTTTGGAGGATAAAGAGGTTTCCTAGCCATTACAACTATATCTGTCTTTTTTTCTTTTTTTTGTTTTTTAATTTATTTGAAGAAAGAAAATATTTAATCATCAAACACTCTCATATATTTTTTTTCTTTGTCATGATAAAATACCTAATTAAAAATTAAAATAAAATAGGAGTAATTTAATAATAATTAAAATGCTAAAAAAAATTTAAAAATTACAAAAAATAACGACTTGCTACTGTAGGGTGTATCAATCCACTTACATGTCACTCTTTGATTGAATCATTTTTTATTGATTGTTTTATGTCATGTTAGCTTGTGACATTCTTTTCATCTTTGCCATTGTCTATCCGGAAAAAACTGCCGCCATCCACGCTCTAATGCGATAAGTTTCGGCGTCAAAATTTCCACATCGGATACCTTTCGTCGAGAAACAAAGCTTACAGTCTCAGTCCAATCACAGCCCGCCACATAATCCGGCACTGCCAATAAGCCCCACGCGGTCGGATTCCGGGCCCACCGCCCATCGGGAATCCGAGGCAATTTAGGTCTCCGCAATCCGCATTCATTCAATCCCGAATCACACGGTAACTGTTGCCTGAAAATTTTGGCGGGCTTTTGGCTCAATTTCAAATTCCCCTTTTTTTTTCGTTATTGGGAATTGCCAAAACCCTAGGTCCCGCCTCTTTCTCTTCATTTCCCTCCCTCTCGCAGTCTCTCTCTTTCTCTCTCCCTCCGATCTGATTGCCCGCTTTCAGGTTCGTCATTCCCAGTTTTGGAATTTCATTAGGTTGATTCTCAGATTTGCGGTGTTCTTTAGTTAATTTCTCGCATTGTTTCAGTTTATTAGCTACTGTTCTGAGTTCGTTGTGGCATGAATCTGTTTTCCTGTAAAAGGTGTTGTTTTTCTCCATGGTAGTTCAGATTCAGTTCAACATGTACAGTTGTTTAATTAGCTGACCAAAGCATCTTTCTTGGGGTTTTCGTAGTTTGTGTTGGATTACTTTCTTTCTTGCTACTTTTAAGGATGCTGTTTGGGTTTTTATTGTTATCCTGATTGAGTTTTGTTCGGTTATCACCAGGTTTACTGGAGAGGGTGTGTGTATGAGCGGTATTTTTTTCATATTTAATGAAATACGAATAGATTATCAAGAAAAGTTGGGACCTTTAAGGTGTATGGGAGTGTAAGCAGGGAATAGTTGAGAGGAAGGCGTTTTTGGCTGAGAAAACACGATGTCTCCTAGAGATAGTAACCAATCGAGAGCTCAAAAACAGAAGAGGCGGACAAGGAGTTCGAAAGCCAAGTATCTTAAACCAGGTGCCCTGGATCTGATTCGGTATAGAAAGGTGTCGGCTGCCAAGTCTTGTACAGATCTTGGGAAGAAAAGGATAGCTGTGATGGATGCAGATGAGCCGAGTGTTGATGCCGGGCTTCAGAATAAGGTTATTGTTAGAACCCCATCTGTTTTATCTCCCGTGAAGGTTAGATTTGGTTCTGTTTGCACCCCATTTAATGTGTCAAAGGTGCATAGTTTGCAAAAGACTCCGAGGACGCCTGGTGCGGAAGTGTTTGAGTCAGAGTCTTGGCTTGAATCGCTTCCCATGGATTTACTGGTAAGCATACTTCCCAGTTATTGGCTTCTGCTCTTTCATTTTATACTCTACCCTTTCCACTTTGGTTCTTGGTGCTCTTCATTGCTAACACACTTTTTAGTAGGTAATAGGTATTTGGCGTGAAAAATATAAATATTGTGTTGTTGGATCAATTAACCGTTCTTATGCTATGAATTGCTATTGTATTTAACAAAAGAAGAGATTTTATTATAGTGTTGATACAAATTCTCGAACTTTACTATTCTGTATTCCCTATTGGCCTCCGTCCCTAGAAGAATTTGAGATTTTGACTTTATGGAGTTTACGAAAAGTGTTGAAAAGTAAAGGTGTTCCATGAAGAGTAAAATTTGTGTTATTGAAATTTATTTTCATATAGAGAAATGATAATAACCACATAATCATTCTCTAAAAAAATGAAGGTGAAGTGTTAAATTCTTTTTGGGACGTCCTAAATGGAAAGTGTAAAGTTATTTTAGGGACTTAGGGAGTACCTTTTTATAGCTCTCTCTGTACTGGACATAGAAGACAAGTGCTTGCTTTTCTTGCAATACAGTGAAGACACAACCAATGTAGCTGCTGCATTTCCTTTTTAAGTTGTCTCAAAAAAAATTTTGGGGAGTGTAAGACACTAACTTTTCTTTTAAATAAAACTTATGGGATACAAATTGTTTTCTATGCTTTGTATTAATTTTAACTACTCAATTTTACCATACTCAACGATTGCACTTTGTAAAATGTGAAACTTGTTCCTGGACAGAGGGATTAGGAGTACTATGTCTAATGTGGCACCTTAATAATTTTGGTCATATGCTTTGTTGCTGTACAAAAAATTGTGTGTATTTTAGAGTAGCACATATCTAAAAAATCAGTCTTAGTGATTCACAGCTGACTCACTTGAGATCATCAAATGTACTTACTCTTGACTATCTTATGATTAAGGTGAAAATACTTTGTCACCTCCACCATGACCAACTCAAACCCGTCTTCCATGTCTCCCAGAAGATCAGAAAGGCTGTGAGTTTCTCTTCCTTATTTTTGTTTTGTTTTTTTATACACATTAGTAACAAAGAGGCTAATGTCTGATCCATCTGGATTTCAGGTAATTCAAGCTAGACAATTCCATTTTAATTATACTACTCCAGATCGAACTCGACAAGAGATGTTGAGGATCATGACACCACTTCCTACAGACCACTGGCCTTTTCTAAGGTGCTTGTCTTGGCCCCTCTCTTTATCCACTATATTTCATACGTTTGATTTTGGAGCTTTAGTTTGATAGAGCTTTTCCGCTTATTGTGTTTGTTTTACGTATGAGCAGAATAAAAAGAATAATCAAAATAAGTACCTTTTGAGTGACATGTTTGGTGGAGATAGATGTTATTAAACAATGTTCCTTCCATGAAATAAAGCAAATCTAACCATTCGTGCCATACAATTCATAACAAACTAGCTATAAAGCTCTGTTTGGTAGTATGCTTTGGCTTATTCGGTTTATGGTCAGAAAATACATCCATTGGCATGCTTATATCAATTATGTGAGAAATGGATTTTACCAAACACCTTTTTCACTAAAGAAACTTCATCCACAAAACCCCATACCATATGAGCCCTCATATGATTATTATATTTATCTCATTGTCATGTCTATACTAACTGGACTATGCATTGCAGCAAGGAGAATGGGAAAGATATGTTACCCCCGAGCCCACACACCCCAAAAGCCCCAAGGCAAGGTCCTCGCCCCCCTTCACGTTTCAAGAAAACCGAAATCCGCCAAGTTGCAGCTGTCCTCTTTCAAGAATCTACATTTCCTTCAAGATGCTTAGTACCATCTGTTATGTCAAAGCCTTCGTGCAAGTCATTGGGTTCCAATAGGGTTCTCTTCTACGAAGACGAGCTCTGCCAGGCCGTGGCACAGAACAAACTTCTTTGATTGCCATTTTTAGCCTCTTTCGAACATAGCTCCTTTGTTTTTTCGTGTGTGCCTGCGTGTTGTGTGTGTACATATATATGGTAGCAGTGTGGATGGGGTGCATTTTTGTCATTTTTACAGGAGCCCTTGTTTGGAGTTGTGGTGATTGATAGATTATGTTAGGGTTAGAGATGAAAAGTCTGAACCTAATAATACGTTTAGTACGTTAGTGTGCTAGTCTTGTGCATAGTTGTTTTCTGTACAATGGATGATTTGTTTTCTATTTAAAAAGTTTAAAAGCATGTGATGGAGTATAATGTTATCTTCCTATTATGTCCCACTCTTCGAATGTTGCCATGTTATTCTGTGATAGCATACGAAGGGTGAGACATGAAAGTAAGACGGAGTAATGTTTTCGGGACAGAGGATCCTTGAGGTAGTTTCATCTGCTTTTTATGGTAGAAAATGTTCAGGTTATGGTGCATTGGGCCTATCTTTGTAGAAATCAATGCTTTTAGTCTTTTTAGGTCTGCAGATATTATGGTTCCTAGGGAAGAAAATAAAACATTGTTTTTTTTTTGACTTTGTTGAGGTGCCCACAGGCCATAGTTAAGCATTGTTTTTTTGACTTAGTCAAGTTCCAATGGAGTACAATAGAGCATTCAAATGGCCCAGTGTCACAATATGACACCTTTTCAAATTCTAAATTTTGTTATTATTTCAATGCTCTTAGTTTATTTTTATCTTATTGTTATTATTTCAAATTCTAAATTAACCTTTTCAAACTTCTTTTATGAATATATCCTGAGTTCAAAAAAGTAAAATATTGAATCACATCTTTTTTCTATTAGGTTTTATTTATACATAACCAAAACTGTGGGATGAATTTCTAGAAAGCAAACATCTTTTATTTCATAGGAAAATGTAATTTGAATCTAGTGGCAAACAAACTCCATGTAATGGTAAGAACATTAAAGTATAGTTCTATTTCACATGATATTCAAGTTTTGATTCAACCACATGCATTATTGAAAATATTGGACACAAACCATGAAGCCTATTCAAATCCAATTACCAAGTTTTATTAGAGTTCTTGTCTCCCACTTTCCTAGCATCTTTGTACCTTATTTGAACCTTCTTTAACCTCCCCAAAGACTCTTTAGATAATCAACTCATCGCATATTTTTGGGTCCAGCCACGAGCCATGGCTTCATACTTCGACTTGTCAGTCCTGTACATTTGAGCTATTTCGGGGACGAGAGGATCGTCCGCATTTGGATCTGTCAGCAGTGAACATATCGAAAGTAAAACCTGCGATATCCCCGGATAACATGAAATCAAATTATGATCTTCAACTTTTAGTTAGGTGAGTATTAATTACATTTTGCAAAATAGAATCGGAATCAATTATTCAGATCGAATAAAATCGAAATCAAACTCAAGGTGACTCGAAAAAATAAATAGCCGATGTATACCCGAAATCCGAGATGACTCAGAATGAACCGGACCCAAAACACATTGAGTCAAATCCAAACGGCCGAACTGAACAGAATCAAACTAAATCATAACCGAACAAAGTGATATCTACATGAACAGTTTTGAACTTGAACCTACATCTACCCAAATCGGTACTTACCCGGACCCATTGGACCCCGAGCGGTATATATATGAACGAAAAAATGTAGGGAACCAAACTAAACTCAAACACCAAGAAAAGTAATGAAATTTAGGATGAGGTAAGGATAACTGGATTAGGTAATAAGACACTTGAGTTGAACCACATTAAAAGATTGAATCCAATCGGTTAGTTAGTTCAACTCAAGAGCTTATATACCAATTATTTTACTCTTGAACTTCCAATGTGGGATGACACTCTAACACTCCCCTCAAGTGGACAACCGGGTCATTTTGAATATAATCGGTTGAACACTTGCAAATGAACTCTCCTCCCCTTATTTTTTAGCGCCAACACCTAAAGGACCACGAGCCGCTGGATATGGACTTTCAGACGAGCTATCGTGTCAAACATCCAAAGGCCGTTAGGTTCATACTCCATACTAAAGACTAACCGCTAGAAATGAACATCTAGACGAATACCTTGACAAATGTGGTGGGCCAAAACCTGCTCCAATATCATGATGAAATTCAGGATGAGGTAAGGATAACTGGATTAGGTAATAAAACACTTGAGCTGAACCACATTAAAAGATTGAATCCAATTGATTAGTTAGTTCAACTCAAGAGCTTATATACCGATTATTTTTTACTTTTGGACTTACGATGTGGGATGACACTCTAACAAAAACTGAACCGGAATTGAATTGATAGACTCAATTGCCAGGTCTAGTGCTAATTGATTGGGATTAGAGAGTACCTTGGAAATGGTAAGTGCTGGACTCCATTGATCCTTGAGGATGTCTAAACAAATGTTCCCATTGTTGTTTATGTTTGGATGGAGTACTTTGGTCCTGAAGGCAACCTGCCAATGTAAAGTTAATAAGCTAATTTGTACATCTGGTCTTAATTATTGTGTTAAGTACAGTTGTAATTAGTTACCTTGGGGGGTTTAAAAGGGTAATCTGGAGGGAAATTGATGGCCACTTGGAAAACACCACCGGCATAGGGACTGTCATTTGGACCAATAATGGTTGCTTGCCAATTATATATATCTTGACCTATAGGTCCTGTAGCCAAACTTGTATAGAAAAACTTCAATAATTGACCTTGGCTTGTTTTCATACAAAATAAAAGAGATTCTTTTAAAAATTGCGTGGATTCTCCTTAAATTTTGAAATTGCACCAATGGTCTCTAGACTTCTTGGCAGTGCTTAGTTACACGCTCGTTCAGTGCAAGTGTAGATTCATCTAAACTCATACTCCGCATATCACATGCGGACAATCAAGTTCTTCATCAATCAATGACATTTTCATCAAGGTCCAACAAATATATTGATCAGCGTGTGATTGACGTACTACCACATCTGGCACATAGGGACCATTGACGCAACACTTTTAAAAGTATAGGAACCACTGGAGTAATTTTTAAAATTCAGGGAGAATCCATGAAATCTTGCAAAAAACTTCTTTTACTTGGTATTTTTGAACGAAGAACTTTGTATGTTGGATTCAATGTTGGGTTGTGTTACTTGTTTTTTTGTAAAATTTTAGAACAATGATCTGTGTTAATATCTTTCAATATAACTGTAAGTTTTGCATGAAAATAAGAATCGACGGAGATCTTTTGACCCTGGGACCCCGGGTCATATTATGACCCGAGAACCAAAGGTCAAAAGAACCGTTTTGTATAAGAATTGATGATGAATATCCATACAAAATTATATACTCTATAATTATAATTAACCTGCACTGCATGAAGTGGGAGGGTCTCTTTGCAGGTCTCTAAGCTCTTTCAAAATCCTTCTGGAAGCCATTTTCAGTCCAATTATGGCCGGGAAGATGAATTCAGTGGGAGAAATAAATATAATATATAGAAACCTCAAAGAGGAAACATATTATATATGGTTAATTATTAATAATCAAATATTATTCAAACCAAGAGAAGCTTTTTATGGGTGTTTAATTTGTGTGATTTTTTTTATAAATTCAGAAATACTCCGGAGTATTATTTGTACAATCCATGGCATATATTCTCCGTGGGAGAAAGCAACAAGGACGGACCCTATCATCTCAAGCATATTTATTCCTCTATCCATAAACAAATATATTCCTTTTTCATTTCTTTTTTGAGACGTCGAATTTTTTTTAACAAGTCATGCAAAAGAACATATCAAATTTAATTAACACTAAAGTTTGACATAGAGACAGATTGATAGATACATATATATCGGTAATTATTGTCTATGGATGTCTATCAAATACATAAGATGTCAATTTTGGTGTCAAGTGAATTACTCAAGGTTTTTATGATTTGTAAATTGATTTCATACTCTTTACAAGTTAACATGTTCAACCGTTTGAAGCTCAAATGTTAAAAAAATCAGAACTTATAGCATGTGAGGGAAAAGGTAAAAATGCCCACTTTGGGCACCCGCACCCCGACCACAAAACAGTAAAGTGATACATAAAGATACTCTGTGTAATCTTATGTTAGTTTGATTTTTGAAGAGAACATTATGTGCCAATGCATATGAAATCTATACATGACTAAAAATTCCAAAACATTGTGGCTGATAGAACCCGATCGAGCTTGTGATGTACTATCTTGGACTCATTTTTTTTATTTGACTTTCACAGCTTCTAATGTAATACTTTAATCATTAATATCTCTATTTCTATATATTTATAAATAATAAAATTATGATATATAAAAATTATAATGCATTTCACAATTCAGTATACTTTTTTCTTCCATAAATCATGGTCACAATTTAAAAAAATGACCGTAAAAATTAAAATGAGAAAGACATTGGAGGAAAAAATAGGATAAGCCCCATCTCCGAGGGTCCCCACTGAGAGGCTCAGGTAAATTAGGCTTTAATCGCAGATTGGTGACAAAGATTGGAACCTACACATAATACTTGCAGAAGCTTTTTGATTAGCATAGTTGCCTCCCAGCACAATTGTCAAGAATCAAGCCCGAGTTTTACTCCCTTGACATCTTTTGCCTTGCCAACTGCGCAACGCCAGAAGCAACAATGGAGGGAAGAAATAATGCAACGTGCTGTTATGGGCTAAAATAGACATTTCATAATCTTAAAATACCCGCGTTTTTTCCTCCCAAATTAGTCCCCTGTGAGTCTGTGACTAGTGGTGGAGGTTTCGTCACCTCTCGCGGCCTAGGGTTCCGGCCAACGTCACAGTAGCTGTAGCTGCTGCCCTGCCGCGCAGATTTCATCCTCCGGAGAGGATGGGGAAAGGCAAGCGGAGCGCCTCCATTGTTATTTCTTCATCCGACGATGAAGAAATCGGTAAGAGTCTCGGCAACTCGAAGCAGAAATCAAAGTCGGGTAGGTCAGCTTCCGTTCGAAGAACGAACCCTAAGAGAGCTAAGAAAGCCCCTCATTCTGGTTCGAGTTCGCTCCCGCCTCACTCCATAAAGTATAGCGACTTCGATGAGGTGAGCTTTGGCGTTTGGCCGCTGCATTTTGTTTTCATCTCTTCCTGGACGTTTTGAATGGTGATGCCGCACCAATACATTTCTCAGGAATGAGTATAATGAGCACAGAGTTTGAATGAGGAACTTAAGCTTTCGTTATAAATTTCTGCAAAAACTGTATGATTGTCGTGCTCGTTTTGGTTACATCATTATTTAAGATTTGAGTCTCTAATAATCTAACTTAATACATTTCATAGTTGTGTATGGCATACTGTAATTGCTCCATTATATTTGTCATTTGGCATGCTATGCTGTTATTGATTTTGTAAATATTATTTACTTTGCATTAATAGTACCAGGATTCGGTAGTTGAAAGTCATATAGGGCCAACAAGTTCCATGGAATACATTCTTGGGATCATTGTTTTTTTCGTAGACCTGTTTATAAATTGCTACTCTGTATATTGTTGTGAATGCAGATCAAAAGGTTTTGTGATGAGTTCAAAGAAGGGCTCTCTGAGTTCAAGGTATCTACTGGTATGCTAATTTTTTTATTAGCATCATTAATACAGATTCCTTGTCGATTGCATTTCATTATTTTATGTAACTCAAGCTTTTCTGAAAAAAAAAGCAGAATGAGAACATGAATGAGGCTTATCTTTCTACACTTTCAGTATACTTTCACCTTATGTAATTATACTCTCTCTAGCTTCCTTTTTGCTTCGTAATGCTACATCTAATTCTGATATAGGTACAACATGTTTTTTACACTGTAAGTGTGCTGCCCGAGAATATTTGATTCTCTTGCATCTTTGGGGGTTTTTATAATACTCGATCCACTGACAGAGTAAATGATCTTACTAATGGAGTAGGTCATAATAGCAGTAGTGATTTGTGGGTTGATAAATACAAGCCTTGTTCTCTGGAGGAGCTAGCTGTTCAGAAGAAGAAGGTAGGCTTTTGACTTTTCAGATTGTTTCTACATGCTGCTTTTTAATCATTTTCAAGGATGGACTTCACAAATCTTTTAATAATTCTATAGCAGCTAAAACTCTGCTTATTTTGCAGGTCGAAGAGGTCAAAATATGGTTTGAGGAGAGGCTGAGAAATAGAATGGTACTGAGTCATTATATAAGATTAATTACATGACTTGCTTCCTTTTAGTTCGCTCTTCCTTTCGGATTCTTTGTAATTAAGTTAACATCACACTAGATAAATAGTCCCCAATTCGATGACACTCAGCACATTTCTGCATTTTTATGTTATGATTATTTATTTCTCTCTAATTGGGAAACACCGTGTGATGTACTATATGAACGTTGGTGTTCTCTGGACTTTTATCAATCATTGTGAAGGTCCATAATAGTTTCTACCTGTCTTCTGTACATTTTGACTGTTGTACGGTGTGCCTTATGAAAACTTGACATTGCTGCTCTAAACTGGGTGCAGGATAGATCTTATAACCACGTTCTTCTGATTGCTGGCCCTGCTGGAACTGGAAAATCTGTAAGTTGCATTTCTATTATGCATCAATTCTGCTGTAAAAAAAGTTCTCTTGATATTTCCACTCACACAAAAATAACTATGTGTTCATCTCAAAGGCAAGTGTTCATGTTATTGCATCGCATCTTGGAGCCACTATTTGTGAATGGAATACTCCTACTCCAACTATTTGGAAAGAACACTTACATCAATCCAACTCAGGTACCTCATGGAGACACACTAAATCCTCTAATCAATACACACCATTTGCATTGTACACACTGCTAGTTTATGAATGCATACAAAAAGATACATCTTTACAGTCTAGACTTTCTCATGCTTAGTGAGTGGTTATACATTTTGTTATTATTATAGATTGAAAGTGATTCATGTTCTTTTGTGTCATATCTATATAGTTCCCTGCAAGAGGGGACACGTAATTCCGATTTTCTTCTGGTTTTCGTGTAGAATCTGTAGATAACATCTGGGAACTACTCTCATTGATTTATAGCGAATCCTGTTTCACCTTGTGTGTTGTGACACTTTGGACACTCATCTCTTGTATTTATTTTTGGAATTTCACTGCTCTTCTCTAGGCATACAGTACATGTCCAAGTTGGAGGAATTTGAAAGTTTTGCTGAAAGGACAAGAAAGTATGGGTTAATCTCCTCCACTGTAACTGGACAACCATTGGCCCCAGTTATACTCTTAATTGATGATCTCCCAGTTGTAAATGGGAATGCTACATATGAAAGACTCAAGAGGTGCTTGACACTTCTTGTACAATCAGTTCGTACTCCGACAGCCTTGTTGTTCACGGATCATGGTAAGGCTGACTCTACTGGATTCAACATGCGCTACCCAGAGGAACTCCTCCAGTCTCTTGAATATGCTGGTGCTTGTAAGGTTGCATTCCTTGAAGTTTTTAATATGCAATTTTGCCACTCATAATGTATTAATTCTAACTTCACAATAGAAACTTTCAGGTTACCTTCAATCCAATCACAACCAATTCTATGAAGAAAGCTCTTGAAAAAATCTGCCGAATGGAACAGGTTAAAGTTAGCGCGGATTCAGTTGAAGCAATAGCAAAAGGAAGCGGAGGTGATATCAGGAATGCGATTACCTCTTTACAGTATTTCTGCCTGAACCCACATTCACTGCTTCCTCAACCTTCCTCCAGCTGTTACTCCATTCCTTCAAAAGAAAGTCGAGATGATGCCAATGCTTCAAATAACCGAATTCCTTTGACATTTGGCAGAGATGAAACCCTTTCATTGTTTCATGCATTAGGGAAATTTCTGCACAACAAAAGAGAGAGTGAAGGTATTACTTCAGGTATGATCATTGATAACATTTGTCTGTAGTTCATCATTTTTGACTGAAGTAGTGACTTGTAAATGCATGTTGTTAGCGATTTAGTTCCTTTATAGTTTTTTCCTTTTCATTTAAACCAAAGAGTGAAGCTGAAACCATGCCCATTCCATAGTTAGAATTGTCGGAGTACACAAACTGCATATTTGCTCTTCTGGCCATTTGAAGCATTTATCTACTGTAGGTATTGCCCAACAAAGTTGGGATTATACTTGGTTCGTTGTTGTTGTGGTGCTGTATCTACTTTAGGTATTGCTGCAGATGCTTGTGGTTGTATATCCTGCCAGTTTATCCTCACTAATATATTGCTTCTTGCAATATCACATTCCTAAAACTTTCTGTAGCATTTCAGTTTTTCCGATTTAGAAGTATAATTTTAAAGTTAGATGGCTAAATAGTTTCTGAAAACACTTGAATATGTAAGATACCACAAAATTACATTCCTGCAGTTATATTCCTTGAACTGGCATTTCAATATGCCCTGATAATCTCAGTCTATTTGGTTACATGTTTTAGATGGAGGTTTATTTGCTTTAAATGAGAAATTCACGCGCTTGCCGCTAAAGATGGAGGCTCCAGAAGTTGTTCTTTCACAAGCACATGGCCAAGCAAGACATATCACTGATTTTCTGCACGAGAATGGTGAATAATGATTTTTCTTTAAATACCAAGGATTATTATCTGAGTGAAATACAGATTACAAAGCAAGGATATATAGATCTCTATTTCACATTTAATTATATAGCAGTATACTTTATGGATTTACAAACAATGCAAAATTTCACTATGCACTTGTATCACTTTCTTGTAGAGTTTATTGGAACTCTAAGATATGATCTTTTCATGCAGTCTTAGATTTTTTAAGCGAAGTAGCCACAGATGATGCATGGGTTGTGTCGTCTTATTTAAGTGATGCTGATTTCCTTCTTGCACCACCCAATACTATGCTAGCCTCAAGTTTGCGGTCCGAGAATCTTCAACACTCAGTTGCTGCTTCAGTTGCTGCAAGGGGTGTGTTATTTGGTAACAATCATCCATCACCTTCCAGGTATTGCTCTCTCTATTTCTTTTCAGTCTGAACATCATTTGGTAGCAATTTACAGCCTGATAAGAATACAGGTGGCATGCCATCCGACGACCAAAATTGTGGCAGGTTGAGCAATCTTTGTGGCAAAACAAGGTTAGTCTACAGATGACAGATTTATTATGTTCATTATCATGTTTTGATAATTACTCCGTTGGACCCATAGAAAAAGATTCATGTTGCAAAAGGTTTTTCCATACATTACATTTAAACAAAAAACAAGGTTTTTTTTAATAAGCATAAGTAGAATTTCAGGATTCTTAAGAGTTGTCCCTTGACAAAGCAGGACTTTTTTGTAGTTTCCTACTTCTCAAGCCATTTTTTAAAATCAGATGGATGTTCTCATCTGCAGTGTCAGATGTGGAGGGAGAGGGGTTATTATTACAGTGACATTGACAAGCATGTCAAGCAGTGCATGCCTATGCACTCTGTGATTGCAACTGAGCTTAAACCTGTCCTAAAATGGCTTGGGCACAGAGTGTGTGGTGATTTTGGAACCAATGATACACACAAAAAACCCGTCAATGGCGTGTCTTTGGGTGATGAAAGTGAGGACAGATCCGATGACGACGACGACATTGAAGACTGGTAATGCTTGAGGACATTCCTTCCCAGGTTTGAGTTTGTCCAAATCTGAGTTTTTGTCACCTGTAAATTGTGTAAATAGTTAAAATATTATTTCCAATTATTGGGGTTCCATTTATTTTTCTTCTTGATAGGATGTTGATGCCCATCTTTTTCTCCCATTTACGTGCTGAATGCTTTTGACCTTCATGAAAAGAACAGTTATTCTGTTCCCGTATTAAACATTTAAAACTGAAAATAGTAACATTTATATGTTAAAGTGATTGCTCAGTTAGTCCGTATATACATTTCTATGAAAAACAAAGAATGCATTGAGCAGACATGATGAAACTGAAGTCAAATGGGATGTTACAGTCTTTTTTTTACCCCTATTTCCCACGTTATGTTAGAACTTAGAATAAGATGGTTGAATTTTGCATTGCCGATCAGTACACTTGATAAATGGCAATGGCAATGTCATATTGACACCCATTTTTGGTGTCATATTATTCACTTGCCAAATTGAGGCACCCACGATGCTCCATTAAAGAAATTTATTGTTTCTACTCCATTACCCCCCACCCCACCCCCCGTTAACCCCTAACCTTGGCCCGAACTGAACCCTCTCTCTACTCCCATCAATTTACACCCTCAAATTTAGTTGAGTAAAATCAACTAAATTTGGGGGTGGGGTGGGTGTGGGTCTGGCCAAGGTTTGGGGTTCGTTGGGGTAGATGGTGTAGGAACTACGAACCATCAAATCATCAATTGTTCAAACGAATCTCAAACCACATCCATCCTCGTCAATTTACACCCCAAATTTAGTTGAGTAAGGGGATGTTTGGCAATTTTGAATAGGTAAGTGCTGAACCAATAAGAGGTCTGAACCATTAAGTGCTGAACCAGTAAAAGGTTTGAACCATTAAGAGCTAGTATATTGCTTAACTATTCAGAGGCAATGGTTTGATCAATTCAGATAAGAGGTCTTAACCATTCAGACTCTGTATAATACTTAACCATTCAGAGGCAAATCTCTTAACCATTCAGACATCTGAACCATTAAGAGGTTGAAACAAACAGTCTGAACCATTAAGTGCTGAACCATTCAGACATTTAAATCATTAAGAGGCTGAAATAAACAGCCTCTAAGTCAACTATATTTAAGGGTGGGGTGGGTGTGGGTTGGGCCAAGGTTTGGGGTTCATTGGAGTAGATGGTTAGGAACCATCAAATTATCAATAGTTCAAAGGAAGCTCAATAAATTTTCCAATTTGGGCAAATGTCATAATATGACACTCTTGGTGAGTGTCATTATAACCTCTTTGAATGGCAATGACAAGGCTATATTGACACCCATTTTGTCTGTGGCATATTATGACACTCGTCAAATTGAGGTTCTTATGATGTTTCGTTTTTAAAATTGATGGTTTCTACTCCTCATCTCTTCAATGAACCATTTAACCTCGTCATGACTCATACTCATCATTTGACTGAAGTCAACTACATTTAGGGGTGCAATTGACGGGGTGGGTTTGGGTCATTGGGGGGTTACTAGTACAGGAATCGTCAATTCTTCAAACGGAGTATCGTAAGGGTTCAATTTGGACGAGTGTCTAATATGACGTGACACTCATAGTGAGTGTCATCACAACCTCACGGAATCGCAATGACAAAGTTATATTGACATCCTTTTTGGGAAAATAAAAAGGAAAATTGAAACTTTAATAATACTCTGTAATAAAAAAGAGAAAGAAAAGCCAGGTAGAATTCAAGCTGGAGATGAAGAGAGCACGAAGTTTGACTTAATACCCCCTCTGTCCCAAATATTTGTTACGAAAAATATATGGTAGTATGGTATTAGGAGTAATACCCCCTCTGTCCCAAATTAATACTCATAGTTTGACTTTGCACGAAGTTTTAAAAAAAATGAAATTGTGTGGTCTAAGGGGTGAAAATTAGAGAAAAAGGTGAGTCACAAAAAGCTTTCCAAAAAAAGGAAAGAAGAAGATTAATTTAAGACAGTCCAAAAAGGAAATAAAGAAGATTAATTTAAGACGGAGGAAGTATGATATTTGGGGTGATTAAACAAATATTGCAAGTATGGTAGCTACATTTTTTGCATGAGTGAGGCCCTAGCATCGGATGTGGAGAGGCTTGGACTGGTTTTCTTTCCGCTTACGCTATAATGCTTTTACACCACTTCGCATTTTATTTGTGTTGCTTTAGTTTGTACTTTAATATTTTTTACTAATACAAAGTTTTGAAATGTTGGGGTGGTCCGATGGCAACCACCTCACATGTAAGAATCTCTCTTTGTGAAGTAGTCACCTTGCCAACAAGAAGACTTTCACCTATTTATGAGTTTGAGAGTTTGATTCTGTTTTCGTAGGTTTCACTAATATCGACGCTCTAGAAAATCTCACTCCTAATTGGAGTATGACCATTCCATAAGTCCAAGCTAGAGGTTGGGTCTTTTTATGATGGGGCGCGCGTTGTGGTGAGCCTGCTAGTTTATCCTCAAAAGTTTTGCCGGCAGACGTTATGTACTTGGCAAGGCAAATGGTGCCTAGAGGGTAATACCAGAGTTCAATTTTTGTGTATGCTTCATTCTTTAGCACCAATATGTAATTAAAGTTTAATTTACCTTCTCTTATGTGATTGTCCAACTACTTCTGAAGGACCCTTGATAATGAAGTTCATCTTTTTTTTTTGAATTAATACAAATGACTATTATTTTCAAATAAATGTATTCCCTCCATCCTCTAGATCTTTCCAAGTATCTTTTTTGTTTGTCCGGAAAAGCTTTTCTAATAATTTGTTTTATTTAAAAAAAATCTAAATACTTGTTATCAAGAAGGTAACAACCGTGCAACTCCAAGGGAAGAGAGAAAAGAGTTAAGAGGAGTTTAATTTTCTTATTGGATAACCAGAACTCCAAAAGCCTAGAGATCCCCTCTTTTTATAGTAGAGTAATGGAACTCCAATCCTAACGAAACTATGTTTTCTAGCATATTGGCTCAATATAAGCATCGATGTAAAGAGTTTATTATTCGTTCACCTAAAAAAACCTTTCTTACAAGAATAAAAATAACTTGACTGAGCTAAATATAACCATCCAAACGCCTTGGCCGTCGTGTGTTCCTCGGTCATGTAGTCGCTTCTACTGCCGGTACGATATCCATAACACTACCCTATTCTATTACCCCCTCAGTTCATAAGTAAAATTTCCGTTGTGCATTACGATATGTGACTGAATTGATTTTCAAATCATTTTATATGAAAAATGGTATAGAATTAAAACATAAAAATTACATATTCAAAAAAACTACATGAACAGATCTATAAAACTAGATGTGAGATAACTCGTTTTTTTCAGAAGGCCCCCTCAAGCTTGCGGGCCCCTAGTTACTTAGGGTCAGATGAGCTTCACCATTAGAAAACGAAGCATGCTACCCTCACCCTACTTTGTACCTCATTTTGTACTACAAAGCTTATCCCTACATAAGAAGTAAGTGCAATACTGACATAATACCAATTTTGCACCTACATTTAATGTCAGGACAAAGCGTTAAAATACAAAATGGGATAAAAATAATGAAGTACAAGTAAAATTTTCTTTAAAAAAAATTCCAAAAGTCAAAATAGGCTTTTGTTTAGGAGTTATGTCACTGGGAAAAATACCCAAACCGTGATCATCGGGTCAACATCCTGCCCTGCCCTTTGGAATCACCCCCACTGTAAATCTTTGTTTCCATTATTATTACGGAGTACTACTACTCTGCCCTCCTTCCAAATCCACAAAACAATTCGCCGTTCTTCCTCAGGTACTCTTTTTTAAATAATTTTATGCCCCAATCTTCATCTTCTTCGCTGCTTAATGTTGGTTCCGACATTGTAGAACACTCTCGAACAAAAATTGTGCCTTTCTTTCAAATATCCAAACACGAGGCACGAACGGTAAATATTACTGTATTATTTTGATCAATGATTTTTTTATGTGATCGAAATCCTAATTCCCAAACGCTTCCCTTCCGACATTCCTTTTAGACCTAATTCATCCAAGATGTGTATGAAACACCACTCTACGGCCTTCCCTAAGTAATTTTTTTTTTGCTATTTTTTTTTTACAATTTTGTGCTTTTATATATTTTTTACAATTACAGTTTTCACCCCTATTTTTTAGGCTATTTGCAGCATACGAATTCAAACATGTTTGTGTGTATATATAATGTGTTTGTCAGTTATTTAAAATGTTATGAGGTTCCCTTCAAAAAAAATGTTAGGAGGTTCTATTACATTAAAATATTTGCCTTTAATTTTTAATATTATCATTCAGAAATTCTGCAATTTTGTCAGTTATTGATATATGTCATGCAAAATTGAATTTTTATGTGCAAATGCTACATTGTTATGAAAAAAACATTTTAAGTTCAAAAGGCTGTCATAATCGGGATCCGATGATGATAAATATAAAAAAGTTTGAATTTTGTTATAATAATTACTCCCTATCGTTATTCCTTTTTGCAGTTCTATGTGCAATTCATACCCCCCACTCTTCCATTTTGAAAACATAAAAGATTAAAAAGTAAATTTAAGCAAGGAAAGAACTTGGCACAGTTGGGACAAGGACCTGCCATTGATCATCCCAGTGAGTGTATCCTTTTCTTTTTCTCCAGTCAGTTTTGTCAAGAAAATGGATAGATGTGTTTGTTTAATTTTGTGCTGGGTCATGTTACTAGATGGCAAACCGGCCTACTCGTTCAAGGAGACAGGTGTCGTCGTCTCAACAGCCAGAATCACAATCAAGGGCAAAGTGGAATGCACACCTCACTAATATATTGGTGGAGCTGATGTTAGAGCAAGCTCGGATTGGAAATAAACAAAGCAAATTCTTTAACAAGGAAGCGTGGAAGTTCATCTGCGACGAATTCCATAAAGAAAGTGGTCTCCCGTGGGATCAGGAGCAGTTGAGGAGCCGGTATACTGCTCTTAGGAAGCATTATGCCATTGTAAGGTCAATACTTGACCAGAGTGATTTCAAGTGGGATGAGTCAACCGGTGCCATCATTGCCACAAATGAAGCATGGGATGCATACATCAAGGTTTGTTCCTACACTTTGATCGGGCATGAGATTTAATACAGGGGAAACTTTGTTGTTGAGATTATTTATTGGAAAGAGATAATTAATATGAGCCAAAACATGGTATCCCTTAAAAGGAAATAAGTGATTATGTAGGAGCAAACAAAAAAGAAAGTGAGAAGATAACTTGGGAGACATGGAGACTACTACCCCCTCTGTCTGAATTAAGGTTTCATATTTGACCGCGCACGGAGGTTAAGTGGAGTTCAGATGTATGCAGGGGTGCAGGGGAGAGAGAATTGATGTAAACCATATAATCAATTTTTTTAAAAATAAAATGGAACCGTTCTTTTTTGAAGGAGGAAAATGGAACCTTAATTTAAGACAAACAAGAAAAGAAATGTAGAACTTTTTTTGTGGGACGGAGGTAGTAATTAATAAGGAAAATACTTTGTTTTTGGCATATTTATGTTTACTTAGGAAAAACAGAGGAAATTTAATTATATCAACGTTTTTTTTAAATTTTATTTATAGTTTTATTTCCTAGTCTTTATTTATAGGGAATATATAAATCAATGAATCTAAGCAAATGTGTCCACTCCCCTCTTGCTGTATTTTACTAGGTTGTTGTTGAGTATGAACAAATACTCCGTATCTAAAATCTATTTATTGAGTGCCAAAACTGCCAACTATTTTTTCCCATCAAAAGAGTTTTATCTCTTTTAATCTCCTGCAGATTTTCCATTCTGCAAAGTTTCTCAAGCAATTTTTTTGGGTTGTGAGCAATTGAACTCTTTGATGGTCGCGTGACATGGTTATAGTAATTAAACAACTGGGACTCTTTGATGGTCGCGTGACATGATGAAAATTTCTTTACGAATCTGTACACGTATTTCGTTTGATATTCCCCAACTTTTGGATAGTAGTGATGCGCACCTCCCTAGTCTTAGGTAGTTGAATCCAAAAATTGGAATACTGTTTTTTGTATGAAAGATCATTGTGGACTATAATTAAAAGTTTGTGAGACCGACTTCCCATATACATAAAGAATGGAGTAATGCATTAGTTGATCTGTTTCCAATTGACTTGTACTTGCTTAAATGATATATATAATACCACCAGGAACATCCAGATGCAGAGATTCTAAGGAGTACAGGCTGCCCAACTTACATGCAGTTACGCGCAGTCTTTGCTGAAACCAACAAGACAAAAGGGAAGCCAAATGGATCCGCTACTACTACTACTACAGGGAAGGAGCGGCCCATTGCTTCACAACCCTCAACCGTGTTTGATGACAAGCTGTCATCTTCCGGATCCGAAGAAGAAGCTGATGTGGCAGATGAGGACGACAAGCCTCACCCAACCAACACATCTGCAAAAACCAGCAAGAAAAAAGGGCGCAAGGGGTTTGACGATTTCATTGCAAAGGCTATATCGGAGATGGCTGCTGCTTCAAGGCTCAGGGCGGATGCCATCAACAAGTACAACGAGAAGTACACCATAGCTGATTGCGTCAGAGCTTTGGATGAATTACAAGGTGTCGATGACCACGTCTATCTTGCTGCTTTGGAGCTGTTTAACCGTAGGATATCCAGAGAGATATTTTTGTCGCTTCAACCTGAGAAGAGACTGACTTGGTTGCACTGCAAAGTTTCGCCGTCTATGGAGGCAGTGTGGCTTACTCCCAGTTCTTTGTAAGATTTATCTTAATAGTCATTTATTGCAATTGTCCAAGAAAATTCAAGTTTACATGCAGGACTTTAGATTTCTCTTCGACGTATAGCTAATGTAGAGAGAGTTAGATCTCAAAATTTTGCTTGTTACACAGTTTTAAAGGAGATATGGGAACCAATGCTTAGCTTACGCGTCTAGTTTTATGTGTAAGTTGTAAACAAGAAAGAGAAGATTCATCTTTTCTCTTCTTCTTCTTCTTGACGCCCCTATAGAACACAGATTCATAATCGTAGTTGACTTCAAGTGCAAGTGAGAGTTACACGTAATTATATTCCGTTTGGCATTTGAAACCGATATTCACTCGAATGATGTTCCTTAAAAAAACAGATTCAGTCATTTCAACTAGTATACCCTTAAACAAAGGAGCCCATGGTGTGGGATTGAGTCAATGCTGGCACCCCAAGTTAGGGCAGTGGGCCCTGTGGTGTGGGGTACCCTAATTGTTAGTTATCATAATTAGTGAGAAAATACCACTTACTCTCCTGTTCTGCACATCAAAGATTCTGACTCATTAGTACTTGCAAGAACATATTGCTGAGTTTGTTAGATCCCCAAACTTGTCGGGTGAATAAGGAGTGACTTAAACAAATCAAATTAGAAAAAGAACCCTAAAACAAGACAGCCTAATCTAACTCATATCATGAAACCCTAAAAAAAGAGCACACACAACACACCTACTATACAATAGAAACTCTGGAAACTGCAAATCTAGAGTGAAATCCTCTTGACATCATTGCTGCTCTTAGCCACCTGGTTATATACCGTCTCGAATGCGTGAGTGCACACACTGGCAAAACCCGTCACCGCCTGAAACACGTGGGGCAGCCCCATCTGTAAGTTGTTCAAAGTCATCGACCTCGTCACACTCACGGCCTTGTCATATTTTGCCTTCTCATCCTCAGCCCTAGCCCTCAACACCTCGACCTTAACGCGTCTCGCGCCCACGGGGTCCTTGTTTCTTCTAGAGGCTTCAGAAGGACCGTACTTTGACTCCATTGACCGAAGCTCGTTTGCCTTCTTCTCCAGCTCCCTGAACGCGGATTCAGACCTCTTCTTTTGCCTCAGCTCTTCTGTCTGTTGGACGACGACGGCGTTGACCACGCTCAAAAAGCTCTTGATCCCTTCGGACGCGACCTTGTCAGGAGCATTATTGACCGCAAGGTGCCATTCTTCGCAGAACGAGTACACCATGGAGTCCTCCTGGCTGCTGGTCTTCTTCTGCTGCATCAGTTTGTTGCTGAGCTGGAACATGCTGAGGCGGAGCCAGCCTGTGAGGGACTCGATGTAGTCGCGTTGGGACTTGATGAGGCTGCAGAAGGAGTGGTGCCACTGTTGGACTTGGAGCTCGAGCTGGAGAGCCGATTGCCTGTGGATCTCAGAGGTGGGGTCGCTGGAGTGCGCCGCCGTGCTGAAGTACTTGAGCTGCTCAACTATGTGCGTCTGGACCTGGTGGCTCTCGTACATGCTCCTCCACATCTGCATCAACCTGCAAGCAAACGCGGGGCGGGGCCCACACATTTCAGGCACCCGTTTTGGCAACAGCTTCAGCGTTTTGAAAAGTCTCTCTAACGGATAAAGGGTTCCAAGGAAAGGAGGAAAAGAAAGGAGGTTCAGACGAACAAACCCTTTGACGAGATTCACGAGCTGGGGATAGAGTTCAGATTCTCTCAGTTTGAGAATCTCAGAAGAAGTGGTTTGAATAGCTTGGGAAGCCACCATGATCTGAGACTCCAACTTCTCCACCTCTTTCTTTGCCTTCTCCGTCTTCACATAGTCCCCCCTCCGCATCTCGAGCCTCCTTAGCTGCGACACCTTCTTCTCATGCTCTAATTTCAGTGCCTCTGCATTCTGCACTTAACCAATTTCACATATTTTCACCTCAAAAGAAACACAAGATCCATTGAACCTTTGTTTTCCCATGCTCAAAAGTACTCCTATTGGGTCACAGGCATTCTGTTTTTTTTTGTTTGTTTTACAACCAAGTGTTTCTTGATTATTTTTTTTTAATAAAAGGGGGGGTCATGGGATAATGGCACCAAGAATGACACTGTGTTCTACCACACTTTATTTTATCAAATAGTAAACTTTTTTGTGGGGGAAAAAGGGATGTGTCATAAAAGCCACACAAATGCCCAAAACTAACTTGATTTTTAGCCCTTAAAAATTCACTTTAAACTTTAACAAAAAAACACACACATCCAAAATGAATGACATCTCAGTTAGAAAATGGAACAACCAAACAAATGTACTTTGTTTTCCCTTTGCTTTCTTGGGTAACGACATAAATTCATAGGTCTATTGACCACCCATTGCACACAAACAGTAAATAAACACAGTAAATGTTGTGGCAATGCAGCAGTAAAATTTGAAATTTTTACCACTTACCTTGACCTCCAGATACAGCTTCTTCTCCCAAGCACACAGTCTCTCCACCGTAGAACAATGGCTAGCGGTGGCGTTCACGGCGCAGCCACTGCCGCCACCACTCATTCCGTTTGTCATCGAATCATCACAGCATCTCCGGAACCCGTTCCATTTCGGACTTGACCCGAATGCCCATAACTTTGGCCCCAAAATTCTCCCTGAACACAAAAATATTAATAATAACAAAAAATGATGAGAACAGTAAGGTTGTACTTTGTGCAGTTGAGGGTGTACTTAAGTATACCTGAAGGTCTTTGGTCGGAGAAAGTACCACAGGGGACTTCCAAGAGCAAAGAGACTTGACCGCCGGCATCCGCCGCCCTGAGAAAGTACTCATCCAGCTCCTTGATGATCTCCAGCAAATCCTTACCCTTTGAGGAGACCACAACCGCCATATCACTGGCGGCGGCGGTGGCGGAGTCGTCCTTTGAGAACTGGGTCACAACGGACGGCGGAGCCGCCACGCTGGCGGCCGTGACGGCAACCTCGGAAGCAACGGTGGTCCCCTCCCACTCCTCGTTCACGGACCCGGGGAGGAAGGGGTCCCAGAAATCCCACCCGTGAGGCGGGGACGGCGGCGGGCGGATGACGGAGGAAGTGGTGGTAGAGGTCGTAGACCAAGTCCCGGAGGTGGGAGTCGGGCTGAGCGGCGGCAGGGGAGGCGGCGGCGGCGGCGGAGGAGGAGGAGGAGGAAGGTGGCAGAGATTGATCTCGGCGGCGGCGAAGCGGAGGAGGGCGGAGCCGGTGTTGCGGAGAGACCTGAGATAGAGAGAGTGAGAAGCGGAGAAAGCGTCTCTGGCTTTCACCAGCTGTTTGGTGTAATTCTTCCGAGCTCTGCATCTCGAAACCAATTCTTCTCTCTCTACCCTCGAATACCAACACCCCATCTCTCTCTCTCTTTCTCTATAAATTAAATCACCACTCCCCTCTGCTCTTTTCTTCAATTTCGTCCATAAAAATCTAATCTTTTTCAGAGAATCGAAGAAGACGAATGGTCAATTAGGGGTGATAGAATGAATTCTTGAAGATGGGGAAAAAACAGGGCAAAGAGAAAGTCTTTTATTTTCGTTTACTTTAAGAGAAGAAAGGGGAGGAGACGACAACAACAATACATAGAGAGAGTGGAGACGACGTTGGACAGAGCGCCAAATTACACAGTAGCAGACAGCAAGGGGGGGGTGACGAAAATGCCCCCGTCATTCCGAGTCATTTACGGGAGCCCCCCGTCCATGTCCACCCCATGAATAAAGAAACAAGGAAAGAGACGAGTCATATGAATCCGAAGAAGAAGAGAGAGAGAGAGAGAGATGGCACTGGTTTCTGCTGCAAATTCAAAATTTGAACTAAGGCCACGACGGCAGATGTACACAACATATGTTTTGGGTGGTGGTCAAAATTTGCACTATTGAATATTGAGATCTACACATATTGAGGAAAAATAATAATGCTCCCCGTAGCACAATACAAAATTTGAAAGAAAAATATAACAACTAATTATCAAGGTCAAAGAGAACATTGAAGCGAACCGGATCCCGAGCAAGCTCGCGATCGAGGAGATCGTCCTTAAGAGTTGTCCCCCGTGGGGGACATCTTTGACCATGGAGGTCGGTTCCTCCTCGATCAGCTAGTTAAGATCCATGCACGAAGTACAATGTATGTGCACTCTATGACAAGGTATAGAGGAGATGCATGTTTGATTACCCAACAAAGGGTTCGGAATGTAAAATGTTGCTCAGCACAACATGAGTTAGTGAAAGCAAGACAAATTAAGAGAGAGACAAAAAAAAGAAAAGTGTGTGGCTATGAGATGTCAATGCAACCACGAGTTTTACTTGTTACTTCTGTACTGTGCTAGTAATATTCTCTCACTGTAAAAGATTAACATCCTAACTCTTCGAGTACATTAACATTAATTGTGTGTGTTTTTCTTTTATATTATGTTCTCGCTCTATTGCTTTTTCGTTCATGTTTCATTTTTTTAAATTATATTTTTATATAGTTTAGAATCGTTGATTATTAAATGATGCAAGGAAAGTGTGTGGCTATCAGGTTTGGGTGTGTGGTTTGCCTTAGGGTTGGTGACTAATATGCTTTGATATTTGCTTTGGGAAGGATTTGGATCAGAACACTAGGTGATTTGCAAGGATGAACCCTATTCCTAACGGTCCCTTAGAATTGACCGGGCGAAGACCTAAGAGGAGGGAGATTGTGCTTTAATCATAGATTTGTAGGGCATGCAAAATTATGTTTCAGTACAGTTGTAAACAATTAAACTCGGGTATTATTCTTCGTACACACATTGCCTTTTCAATTGTGCAACACCCATCAACCACTAGGTGAGAGTATGTTTAATGCCTACATACTGATTAATTATCTAAGCATCAAAATTTTCAAGTTAAATTGAGATGAATCATATATCACCAATGAAATGGAATTTGGGAACCTAGTTATGAAATTTTCTCTCATTTGTCTTCCATGGAAGGGGTAATGATGATATTTGAGAAGAGGAACCCAAGTATGGAAATCTCTTTCAAATAAATGTTTTTATTCATCTTAAACAATTTATAAGTACTTTGACCAACCACAACAATCTAATTGAATCCTATGAAAGTAGAGACTCACACCCTTAAACCAAATCATTTTTTCAAATGTTTGAATTTTTTTGTCCAATACTTTGATCCAATATTTTTAACACTCAATTCATCTTCTACATATGGTAATTATCCCATTTCATTTAATACTATGTTTTCAAATGGATTCTTGGTAGGCAACCTCTCTATATACTCGTTGATTATTTTTCTAGATGCAAAATGAAATATAGGTCTCGTTTGGATTACATCATTTACAATAACATTAATATGCTAAGTAATGAGGTGGATTAGCTATATACTTCCGCCGTCCCAAACAAAATGACACCGTTAGTGTGTTACTCCTTCTGTCCGGAAATATTCTTCACATTTGATTTTTCTTGGTCAAAGTTTGTAAACTTTGATTACGATTTGTGGAAAAAACACATTGTATTACCCGGAGTATGATATAAATTTAATATCAATATTTTCAAAATGAAAAATAGTTTTCAAATATCAATTTTTTTATAAAATATATCTATGTATAAATATAGATATTAATGGTCAAAACACAATATTGGAGACCGTGAAAAGTTAAATGGGTAGAACATTACTGGACGGAGGGAGTACTATTTTGGTCATTTGATAATTTTTGTTTGTTTACTCGTTTTGATTGACCATATGCTGAAATAAATATTCTTGTCGCATCTTGTTTTGTAAAAACTTTTAATGTACTTGAACGGTGTAATTTTTACTTTTTATTTCTCTATTAATTTTTAAATAAAATAATTTAAAAAGACAATACTTTACACGTTTTTCAAAATGTTGTAAATAATTTGAGACGGAGAAAGTAATTGTTAAACTAAAAGCTACTCCATAATTGAATGGTGTTGGATTATTGGGCCGAACAACACCCAACCCAAAAATGGTCCTAAAGAACTAAATAAGGCCCAAACTGAGACCCGTGGCAAGGCCATTCACCCCAACCTACATATTTACTCTTTTGGGTGGAGTAATGACAAATAAAAAACAAAATATGATACCAGAAAAACAAAATAGTCATACTTGGATATTTCACATTTGACCAAAGATTTGATTTCAATGCCTATAACAGAGATCATGATGTCTCCAAAAACATTAGGGGCAAAATATTAGTTTTTATATTTAAGAATCATACAGAAATATATTACCAATTTATAAATGAGTAATAAATAATTTGAAAATAACACTTATAAATTAAGATCAACACCACATAATAACTTTTAAAGTGTTACTAAATCTATTTTCAAAAAGATATATCTACACACTTTACAAAATTTTTCAAATCCACACGCATATTAATTCAAGTTTAATAATGGCGTGAATTTAACAAATGTTGATAAAAGTTATGGATATAGCCTTTTTGAGAATAGATTTGAGAACGAATATGTTTTTATGATTTTAAGATTCACATGTTAAATTTGAATACTTTTACATTTTTAGTGAATCGATATTAGAATCTTTATTTGTTTTCAAATAACTCAATTCACCCATAATGTTTATATATTAAAATTCATAAAATGAGTGTGGAAATAAGAATTAATAAAATACATATGAAAATTTTGCTTTTTGACAACAAAAGAATTGACATGGAAACATACATAGTGGGCTTCTTCTGCACCATAACTAAAGAAAACAATTTCTTCCTTGTTATTGAATTTTTTTAGTAAGAAAGAATGCTCTCTCACTAAATAACACACACCACATGACAATACTACCCTTTTACCCCTTTATAAGTAAAAGAATGAAAAAAAAGTGTAGAGGAGAACAAGCTGCTCATCTCCCTATTTCTTCTTCTCTAGAGAATAATTTTATAGAAATTCTAAGATGGAAAAAGCAAATAAATAAATAAATAAATAAATAAAAACCCCTTAAAATGTTGATAATTAGCAGATCAGGCCTTTGGACTCAGTGACAGAGTGATGTCTTGGAAAACCTTAAGCCTCTTGTCAATCTTTCTTGTACAAGATTCAAACTTTGGCGATTTCCCTTCCAAAACCGCCGCAATTATTGCATCCTCGAAGTCCTTGCTGTCCGGCAGCACCACCGGTTCCTTTTCCGCAGCACCCACAGCGGTCTGCCTTCTCATCTTGGTCTCACAGTCTGGAATTCCGCCATTGACGGACCTCGTTCTCTTCAGAGCCTGCTGAAGCTGAGGCTGTTCTTTCACGAATTTAGACGAAAAGAACGGCGGGGCAGAGACATTCAGCGAGTTGGAGGAGGCGTTGATGAGATTCTCATCGGGGAATGGATCTGCGGTGAACGATGGCGGGGAAGACGACGACGAAGAACAGGGATGCGGTTGCCAGATCGCGGAAGAACCCAAGAAAGACTCGAACACCTGTCGTCTTTCCAGATTGTTGCCCGACCCGACAACCTTGGAGATCAGTTCGGATTCCAAGTCTTGGAGCATCTGCTGCGCCCTCTCGTAGGCTTTGAGGTGCGAGTCCACGCCTCTGGGCCCGCCGGACACCGCGGGCTTCACGCGGCGCAGCGTCTCCTTCGCCTCGCAAACCCTCCCCTGTTTCATCAGACAGATGCCGAGGTTGCACATTTTGTTGTTGTCTGCTGCTATGGTCAGTGCCTTTCTGTATGCGTCTTCTGCTTCCACGTAGTTGTTTCTCTGCATCAACGCCCAACCCAAATTCCCCTGCAAAAAAAATCCATTCTTTTCTTTTTTAAAAAAGGGTTCTTTTCTGGTAAGTTATTTAGAAAAATGGCAGATTTTGAATGGTATTATTTGCAATCCCTTATTACCAGAAGTCTGGTGGCTTCTTGATCCACTGAAACCTGAAACTTCTTCCCTTGGGATCTGGCCGTCTTCGTTCGCCTGCCATTAAAGGCCAACCCTTGTTGGATCAAGAACAGTTTGTGCCTCAGGAGTGCGATCTGATCATCCAATCTCCCGCATCTCTGCAAATTCCAGGAGAATTAAGAATTGGTGTGGGTTTGAGATTTTAAAAAAAAGTGATCTTTTCCATGAATAAAAAAGAAATCAAGCCGAACCTTGTAGAGATCTAACAAGATGTTGTCAAGAGCCTCTTGTGCTTGATCAGAACACCGATTTCTCAGAGATTTAATGGCTTCAATCGCTTCTTCCGCCCTGTTCTGCTGCTTCATCACAATCGCCATATCCTTCAGAGCACTGTCCACTCTGTCCCCAGCATTAATGGCTGCCCAGAACAGGGGAATCGCCTTCTCCGGATCCTTCTCAACCAACTTCAATTCAAACCCAACACAAAAACAAGTCAAAACCCATACAGAATTTGGGAAAACTCACTCATCCGGTTCAAGAAACATCACTTACTTGGACGTTCTTCGCTCGGACGTAAGGGGAGTCGCCGACCGGGATTTTGTATGCGGCGTGGAAGGATTGGGTTCTGGGGATGGGCGGCGGCTTTGCCGGAGAAACAGGGGCGGATTTGGTGGGCCTGAAACCCGGCGGTCCATTCCACATCTCCTGCAACATCTTTGAACTTTTCTCAAGAAAATGAACTCGAAATCTGATATGGAGATTTGAGATTGTGGAATGAAACGATCGGAGAAGGAGGAAATGGCAGTGATGAAGGAGGAGAAGAAGAAGGGGTGCAATTTAGGGAAGGGGTTTTTGGATTTTTCGACCGTTGGAAAATAGCCGTTGTGAGGAGAGTAATACGGCCACCCGTTGGGTCTTTTTTCCCCTATGTGTCGTTTTATTAATGTTTTCTTGCCAAATCAAGAAAATATTTATATTAAGGGGTTCCGTTTACCTTGTTTATCTAATCATAATCCCCTTTTTTTCGACTCTATCAGTTTTAATTTTGATTTTTTACTCTTTGGACTCTAAATAGATTAAAAGTAAAATACACTCTAAAAAAAAGTTAAATTAGATGAACAATTCAAAAGTTTTAAAATTATACGCATTCAACTTTTTATAATCCTTCATTCTTAAAAGATTTTTTTTCGTTTGTTCTAAAATAATTTTTTTCTTCTTTGGAACGAAATAAATTTTTTTATTCTCTTTCTAATTGGGTCACTGTTTGAACAAAATGTATGACCCAATATATTTGTCTCATTTTTTTAAATAAATTATACTCCCTCCGTCCCACTGTCTTTGTCCACTTACTTTTTGGCACACCATCCAATGCACTTCTTTAATCCATTTTATCTTGTAATTTGTATATTAAAAAATTATAAAAATTAATAATCTATATGTTAAGACGAATCAAACAAGATCACACATGACTATTTTTAGGCTTATACATTGAGAGAATTTGATGAGTCAAAGTGCTTAAATGAACAGTTCCAAGAGTCAAAACTGGACAAAGACAATGAGACGTAGGTAGTACTTTGTAACGTATTGAGTATTATTCATTTTTAACATTTTTTTTAAATTTTGTAAAGTTAAAATAATTTTTTTGTTTCGGAGTAATAACTTATTAGTGTAGTAGTTATTAGAAGATCTCCAATGACACTTACTTCCTAAGCATGACTTACCAAAGTCATATTTGACATATGAATAGTGGTATAACAAACTATTACTCTTTTGTTTCAATTTAAATCACATGTTTCCGTTTATCATGTTTGACATAAGTTTTCATTTTCTTTGCTTCCCAATTCTTTGATCTGAACATAGCGGTATAAGCAAATTATTTGGTGGTCCTTATGTTCGTGCTCATTTATGAAACTTAATACACAAAATAATTATATGCATTGAGCCCTGTAAAAAGGAATTAATTTAATTATATGTTTATGAAAAATATAAGGGAAATACAGAAATAGTATTAAAAATAAAAAAATTACCAAAATAAGAATTTGATATTCTTATTCTCAAAATAGAAATTACAATTCAAATAATGTCAACATATTATACAAAAAAATATTATGAAATACCAATATACAGTGTCACAATATTATAATTAAAACTCTTATTTTCAGGAAAAATACATATAACTTTTAATTTGGAGATAAGAGTTATGTATTACTTTTATTTAGAGTGTTTTTTTAAAATATGACAACCTACTTTAATTTGACTTGACAAAAAATACATGCATATTCAGTCAATGTTAATAGTGATATTAACTTACTTACTTTACCCTCAAAACAAAAGTTATTGAATTGAGTTAAAGAAAAGTGCAAAAATTGTTGAAAGTAAGCTAGGAAGAAGTGAGAACAAGAAACTAGAATAAGAAAGGGAATGTAAATATTTATTGAAAAATCGATTTAAAAGATGAGAGACTACTCAAATAGTCAAATTATAAAACCTGATTAGGCAATTTCATTTACGTGCTGTATTTTAGTATTATAGCCTTTTAATGTTTAGTGAAATTGTTTACAGCGTGGCCTATTAGCTCAGCTGGTTAGAGCGTCGTGCTAATAACGCGAAGGTCACAGGTTCGAGACCTGTATGGGCCATTATTTCTTTTTTATTTTTGGTTTCCCTGTCCGCTTTCCTTCTAGCACTGTGAAGTTTAAATTTTCACATCCCTTCTTTTCTTTGTATTCATAGGAATCAATTCCATCCAAACAATCCCTTAACAGTATTCATTATCAACTCCATGTTTGGATCTGGTTACCAAATATCCCTTTCTTTTTATTCTTTTTATTCAAATCCCCCCCCCCCCCTTTATTCAAAAAAAAAAAAAATCCCCCCCTTTTTGTTTCCCAGTCGCAGTTTCTTGAATTGTAGCAGTTTATTTTCTTTTTATTTATTCTTGAGAGTCAAATCCATCATCCAAACAATCCCTTAGCATTTAATTAATTCATTATCAACTCAATGTTAAATGTTTGGGTCTCTTCTTAGTTCTTACCACATATCCCTCTTTCTTTTTTTCTTCTTATTATCCCTTCTGAATAAATTCCATCCAAACTATCCCTTATCGAGTAGGCTGATTGACACAAATCAAAGAGATCAAGAAGACAGTGGTGGGAGGAGTGTCTTGTTGGTTAAGGAGAGGATGGTGGAAAGCATGAGGTCTCTGTCAATGGGTTTAGTCAAATAAGCATCCATTCCCACCTCCAAACATTTGGCTTCATCTGATGACATTGCATGTGCTGTCACTGCCACTATTGGTATGTGTGAAGAAGAACCACTCCCCACTTCTGATCTTCTTATAGCTTTTGTTGCTTCATACCCATCCATCTTTGGCATCTACATCATCACCATCATCATCATTACCTGACTAACAATCTAATAATCCATTGATATGAATACAAAGAACAAGCAAGTAGCACCCTAGATCATCAAGACGCTGATACCATGTCAAAGAACGAGTTTAACCAGAAGTTCAAGTTACTTGAGTTTGGAAGCTTAGGAAATGCTTTTACAAGTAGTTTCACTTACTTGACAATCCATCAGGATCAAGTCAAAAGCCGGGGGAAATGATCCTTTGTCATCTCTGCAGTCTTTGGACTTGATGGCATCCACGGCCTGTTGCCCGTCCCCTACAACCACAACCTTTGCTCCCATTTTTTCCAGCATTATGGTTGCAACTCTCTGAAGCACGGGCGTATCCTCAGCAAGTAGTATTCTTAGTCCTGCAAGAAGATTTTGTTGGTTTGTTTCCTTTCTGGACCCAACATTGCTTAATTCTACTGTTCCCTTCCCTGCCTGCCTTGGGTAGTCTTCGGAAGATGATGTAGTATTCTCTTCCGAATTCGTCTCGGTGACGAGTTTGCCCTTTCCGTATTCCGAGTTTTCAGATTCGTCTGGGCTGTCTAGACAAGATTTTGGTTCAAGTTTGTTGGCATTGATTATGGCTTCCAGAATCTGAATCATTTTCCCCTTGTAAAGCGGTCGGTTTACCATCAAGGGATGCCCTCTTCTCCGCAACTCGGATTTGATGGAGTTGGAAGTGTCGTGGTAAAGAATCCATGCAAACTTTGCTCTACCACTCCATTTGTCAAGAAAAGCAAGTTGCTTCTTCCATATGGCTGTGCTCAAGTCAAGCAGTCCAATGTCAATAACTATGGCAAAAAGAGAGGTGTGTGTCAAAAGCCCTTGAAGCATTTGCGTTAGTTCATTCCAGTCAGATGCTTCGCGAGTGTGGACTCCGTTTTTCTCTAACCATTGGGACATTATTACTCTTCCCATTCTCCCATGTAGTGCAAGCAATACCTGCATTCATTTAGGTGTTAAACAATTCACTAAGAGTTTCCCCGAGCTTCCCACAAACTATAGACCTCATTCGTTTTTCTTTTTTCTTCTCTTTTTTTGTTGCTGAAATGAATGATAACAAACCATAAAAAGATCAAAGCTTTAGCCATTTCAACCAAATGGGTGAGTACAACATAGTGACATTTTTGTGAAGGTATTGTGATGTTGCACTTATTAAGGGGGGTTTAGAAAGGGTTCTTGAGAAATTGTGCATGATTTGTTCCCACTTGGGTTCAAACTCATGACCTCTAACCACCACACCACAAGTTGTCCCCAGACAATGAGACAAATAGTGCAAAACCATTGTACTTACAGTCATTGTCTGCTCTCTCATATTCAAATGACAAAACTGTCCTATGTCATTCATAGGAGTGCCCAGTGGGAGACAAAGTTTCATCAGAGTGCCTTCACCATTTTTCTTCATAACTTTGATCTCACCACCCATTTTGTTCACCTGTAGTCAAAAGCTTCTAATAATTAGATGGAGTACAATGTAGTGTATTCTGAAGTGTAAAGATCATTCTTCCAGTTTTTATCTCATGTTTAGTTTGTTTGCACAAATCTATGTGATTTATTCCTTTCCTGTGGTGTTTTAGGTTCTAACTGAAACTAATCTGCATGTTACAACTTACCAGGGTACGTACTATGCATAGACCAAGACCAGTTCCACCATGCCTGCATTATAAAGAACACATTTTTATTAACTTGTCGGCCTTAGTTTCGGTTTTGATCTGCTAAACTACTGTGTATGTTAGCATTATAACTTCAAAGCTTACAATCTTGTGGTGGAGGGATCAGCTTGCTCAAAGCTTTCAAACACAGATTCCCATTTGCTTGGATCAATCCCTAGAGAACACAATGCAATCAATGCATAAAATTGCTAATTTCTATAAAAGTCATAAATCATAATGGTAGTTTCTTTGCAGTTTAACATTCATACCACAACCAGTGTCGTCTACTTCAAACCAAAGGACAGTTTTGTCATTGTCCTTCTTGAAAGGTTTTCCACAATGGCCTCCTTCTTGATCCTTAAACCTCACTTTAGGACTCGGCCAAGATTCCATCGGGCCCTTTCTGCTGCTTGTGAGAGTGTTTGAGTTTGAATTCTCGCACCATCCTCGGAGAATGATATGGCCACCTGCAAGACATTTATTTGACAATGTCAGTAAAATAACATTATGGTTTTATACTACAAGTGACAGAGGGAACTCACAAGTTGTGAACTTCAGAGAATTGCTTAGTAGGTTTGCAAATATTTGAACCACTCTGCCAGAGTCCCCTTTAACTAGTTTTGGCATATCATCTGAGAAGAATGCATTATTTTGAAGCAAACAATGAGCATTCCGATATCTATATACCAGTACAATAAATAAAACTGCAGAAGCCAAATGCCGAACATACCAGAGAGATCTAAAACAGTTTCCACATTGTGGTTAAAGCATTGGACGGAGAACATGTCAAGGAGACCTTCGAGTTCTCGACTCAAATCAAATTCGGTCTCTTCCAGAACCAGCTTCCCAGATTCTACCTGCTTCACACATCCAATGTCTAATGGGTTAGTTTATATTTTTATATTCAACCAGTGTGCAGCTGATGAGCTGATCATTAAGCATGTGACAAGCTTATGAATCTCACCTTACTAAGATCCAAAATGTTGTTGAGGAGCCTGAGTAAAGCAGTTGAGCATTTGCGTATCTGAGTGACGGTCCCAGATTGCTCATTTGTGAGACTGTCATCGCATATAAGAATGTCCAGCAAACCAATAACCGCAGCCATGGGCGTTCTTAGTTCATGACTTCATAAAAACAAAGCACAAAAAGAAACAAGCTCATAAAACTTCAAGAAAGCACCAAGAATCCATTAAAAAGAAGAAGTTACCTCATGTTTGCTAAAAACTGGCTCTTGTAGTTACTGGATGCCTCTGCTTTCCTCCTTGCATCCAAATGGCATATAAGTTCAGCCCTGAGTTTCATTTCCTTTGAAACCCCATTGGTCAATATGAATATGCAGACGCATCCGGTGATCAGAGTGCAGACGGAAGCAGATATCAACACGACCAGCGTTTTGAAAGCTCTCTCGTCTATCTTACCCATTATATATTTCCTGGGGATGATTATAACTCCAACCATGGGGAGTCTCTTCAAGTTCAGAAAGAAGGAGTCAATGTAATACAGCTGATTCCCAAGCTTTGCATTCTCTATGTGGACTTCTTCACCTGGTGGGATGTTGTTTCCATACTGTCTCTGCAAGCACAGTGCCCCTGCTTGTATCACCGGGTCCTCAGAATCCACAGCCATGATCAGCTTCGGCCTCTTCGTCGAGTTCACCCAGAGAGGGGTGTTTGTGGAGGTGGCGATGAGCCATCCCTCTTGAGAGGTTAGATATATGTGTCCGCTGTGGAACTCAACAATCTCCCTCATCAACTGCCCCACGCTGTATAGCGCCGTGGTGACTCCCACCACCGCCACTATGCTCTCGTTTGCCGGGTCCCACACAGGAAGCGCCGCAGAGAGGAGTGGGGAATCAGAGTACTTGCTGACCGCAACGTGCCAGGTTGCGGCGCCGTCGGGCACTTGGGAGATCCCCGCGATGTTGATGAGCTCGTCCGGCGGGATCTCCCCCTGTTTCCCAATCCTGGCCCCTGTCACGGGGTCCAGCGGGTCCCGGTACCACACTGCAGACGTGTTGCTGCGTATGGACCGGTCGTCCCATCCCTGACGGGACGAGGATGCCGCCATGCTGGCGGCAGGGACATCCATGTAACTTCCGCTAATCGAGTAGTTGGAGAGGTCGGAGTATATGTAGAAGGTGTTGTTGCTCCGGTGGTCTCTGTGGAAGGCCTGGACGAAGCCATTCCTGTAGTTGATGGTTAAAGAACTGAGAGCTTTCCGGCTGGCAAACAGCGCCCACGTCACCTCCTTCATGGCATCATAGAGCTCCACCTGCTCTGCTTGCGTCACGGCGCCGCTATAACGTTTGATCACGAACTCCGACATCTTCACCTGGGCAGTCGCTATCTCCACCGTGGAGTTCAGGATGCTCCACATTCTCAGTATGGGCCTCTGGAGGAGCTCGTGGCGGAGGCCGAACGCCAGCGTGCTCAGCGATCTTTTCGTGTAAGCTCTGGTGAAATGCCATGTTAGCAAGGTTAGCAACGCAATCAAAATCGCCAGCATCACCTGCAGAAAATTAAACAAACCAGTTCGTTCAGGCATTTCATCATACACCTGGCGCAGAACACTTTCAAGAAACTTTAAAAAAAACAGAGCAAGCTAAGACGACGCACCATGATGGCGAGACGAACAACGAAAACGCTGTAATGTGAAGACCAGGAGAGCGTGCTTGCGTACTTAAACTCCTCTTGTCGTTGTTCTTCGACGTCTCGGTTGAAAGTCTTTGTGCTTCTGGGAGACTGGTTTCCGAAACAGAACATTTTATGGAAAACTCTTTGTGGGAAAGATGAACGGAACGGAGATTCAGAAGATGGAGTGGGATTTCTGTACACCATTGTTGTTGTTTTTTGTTGGTCAGTATTAGAGTGAGAACAGTTGTCGTATGAATGTGTGATGGCTTTGGGAAGAGTGGGAGAGATGGAGCTGAGGTAGAGAAAGACTGAAGATTGATTTATATAAGTCGGGTTCGATGAAGGTGGTGTATAAATTACTGTGGTAAAGGTGGTGAAGACTGAAGAGTGAGCTATATGCAATATTTTGATTACTCCTTTTCTAAAATTAATTTCACATTTCATTTTAAGAGTTTCTAATACAATGTTTTATCCATTAATATCTCTAATTATATATAAACATATATTATTAAAAATAACATGTTTGAAAACTATATTTCAAAATTAATTTATTGAGATATAATTTATATAAAATTTAATATGTTTTTTTTTGTAAATTTTCGATAAAAAAATTATCGAACCAATGTTGTGATTACTCCCTCAAGCCTCAAATAAGATTTCCATTTTATTTTAAAATTTATCTCAAAATAAATTTCTCACTTTTTTTTTCTTTTGATAATAGAAAATGTGAACTGTCTCACCACATTTCTCCCTCCTATAAAAAAAAAACATTGGTTCTCATGACATTGAGAACTAATATCATGGGATGACCCGTGGTTGCTGCAGTGCCCCGTTTGTAAAATTGACAGTTCCTACCTCCCTAACACCCCGGTAAACCCCCCACCCCACCCCGACCCAAACACGCCCCCACCCCCTTCAATTGCATATATCCTCAACGACTTCAAGTTGATTTTGACTTTAGAGTCAAAATTTGACTCCAAAGTCAAAATTAACTTGGGGGTGCAATTGAAGGAGATGAGGGGCGTGTTCGGGTCGGGACGGGGTGGGGGGTTTACCGGGGGTTAAGAGGGTAAGAATCGTCAATTTTACGAACGGGACACTGGAACACCCCCGGGTCATCCCATGACATTGGTTTCCAATGATTTTTATCTAGGGACAAATGAAATAAGGATTGAGTTATTTGTACACTAAAATTTTTATCTCATTTTGTACTCGAAAGACATGCACCGACATTTTTGTGCTAGTGTGATGGTTTACATTGACAAAATATGTCTGTACAATTTTTTAAAATAAACTAACATTTTGTGTCAGTGTGAACCGTTAAAATGTCGGTGCATTTCTCTAAGGTATAACTTGGGGTATACTTTTTGGTGCATCTCTAAAATGGTAACTAAAACTATTTCCAGGATAGATTTTTTAATAAATTATGTCATTAAATGAATTTTCTATTTTATTAAGATAATAATAATAATAATATATGAAAATAAACGTATAGTATTATCACTTTTTTTTAGAAGAAATTGAAGGTATTGCCAATTTAATATACCGAGTACTCTATATCCCCATCCCTCATAGACATTTCGAGGGTCAAATATAACTCATTTTGTTTATTTATTTTTACTATTTATTTCATAAAATAATATAGTATTATCACTTTTTTTTGTTTTGTACACATACAATCAAATAAATTAAATTGAAAATAAAATCGTGAAGTCTTGTAAGTCGTAACGAATAACGAGAATATCCATGTGGGATGAATGAAGTATTCAAAAGCTACATTAAACGATCAATGAAAATCTGTAAAAAATAATTAAATAAATAGTTTCACCCAATTAATACCCTCTACCCCTTAATAGTGATGGCAAAATAATTTCACATATTCTCTTAATATTGGAAGAATATGACAAAGATAAGAGCACTAGAAATACCCGTGAAGTTCCGAGACTTCAAACTTTTGCTTTCAATCACGTCAGCTTTAACTAAACTCACAGTTTCAGTAAAAATGAGTTTATTGTCCCAGGGCTTCAAATTGAGACTTCAAACCTTCATTTCTTACATTTTAAATACACGTCTTCTAAAATTAAATTAATAAAATTTAATTATTTAATTATTTAATTGAATTGAAACGAGAATAGTTCATTAAAAATTACATTCATCAAAAATATTACATTCATAAAAAAAATTACATTCATTAAATAAAAAAAATTACATCTATAAAAAAATTACACTATGAACAAAGTACTAATTATTTGAGCAACTAAAGATATCTTCAATCAAATCCACCGTTAGTGCATTGTGAATATTTCGGCTTCGAATTTCTTTGCGGTTTCTTTGTTTCTTTTTCGGTGAGCTAAAGTTCCTCCCCGAATTGTAGTACAAAATAATTGCCAAAAATATTGGTTTCCTCGTACATAGGCACCTCCTCGTCCGGGTTGTAATGGCAAATCGCAAACTTGTTTTCCTCTATGATCATATTATGAAGTGTTAGACAATAATAATAATATTAGTTCTGGTAGTATTGGTTATGGTAGCGTTTGATTATTAGTCATCTTTCTATTTCTAATTATGATAGATGTTGTATTTTTGTTAGTCTCCATTCTCCATTCCTAGTTGTGTTAGAAGTCTCTTCTATATATATGCTATCATGTAGTTCATAATTCAAGGAGCAATATTATTATTCCAATATTTCAACATGGTATCGGAGCCACCGCTCTTGGTGACCTAAAAGAATTCTTTGCTTCCATCGCCGCCGCCGGTAATTCCGGCGACGGCGGCACCACTTTATTCACCTCTATTTTCTTTTCCTTCTTTTATCCTCAAATTAACTTCTTCATTCCAAAAAAAAGGGAAAAAAATTCTCGTGTTGAAATCACAAAAAACCATCAAAGAAGAAACTTCTCTCTTGTCCTCTCCATGGTTTTCCAAAAAAAAACTAACTCCTCACAAACTCTCTCCACTCATTCTTGTATCTTCTCAAAATCATGGAAAAAAAATGATATTTGTTTCTCTACAATTCACTATCGAAGATTCTCAGACCTAGTTCTTTTCTTCATCAGCATTTTTTAATCTCCCCTTTCTCTCTCAAATCACCCATTCTAAACATCAATCTTTCTTCTCTTTCTCTTTGTTAACCAATAAAATTCCAAAAAAACAACACAAAAGCAAATCCAAGAGGAGAAGTAGTGAAAGAGGAAAGAATACCTCTACACCCCTTCAAGAAAGAAATAGAGCATTGCCCATATCCAAGAAAAAGACAAAGAATGTCAAAGATCTTCAGTCAAACAGGCACTTCCAGTAGTCTTCTCTATTCTTCTTCAACGTCACCAGCTACAAACGCATGTCAACCTTCTCTCTTCTTCTTCGACGTCAGCAGCTACCAGCGCACGTCAATTTCTCTCTTCTTCAATGATGTCTGCAGCTACCAGTGCATGTCAGACTTCTCTCTTCTCCAACAATGTCAGCAGTCACCGGCGCACGTCAGACTTCTCTATTCTCCAACGACGTCAGCAGCCACCGGAGCACGACAGACTTCTCTCTTCTCAAAGTTTCCAGAGTCTAGCTAGTCTCCAAGCTTTCTCTTGCTTCAACCAGAGTTCAGCTTGAGGGGGATGTTAGACAATAATAATAATATTAGTTCTGGTAGTATTGGTTATGGTAATGTTTGATTATTAGTCAGCTATCTATTCCTAATTATGTAGATGTTGTATTTTAGTTAGTCTTCATTCTCTATTCTTAGTTGTGTTAGAAGTCTCTTCTATATATACTCTATCATGTACTTCATAATTCAAGGAGCAATATTATTATTTCAATATTTGAACATGAAGAATACATGATATTTCTCATTTTTGTTTGAGAAAAATATTTGGAGTTGGACGAACGATCTATAATGTGCCACTTAGCCTTCAACACCCAAATGTTCATTCGATATCTTTTCTCGCCGCCTCATGAACTTTTTTGTAGGTCTGACGTTTAAGACCCATTGGCTTGGAGAGAGACTTGACAATCGTAGAATAATCTGGATATATTCCATCGGCAAAATAATATCCATGCTTGTAAAGTGTCCCTCTAAGCACAAAAGACAAGTCAGGTGTGGTCTCATTAACCCATTCATAAAAAAACAGACGATTGATCATAAACATTAATATCGTTATTTGAGCCCGTAACACCGAAAAAAGCATGTCAAGACTACAAGTCATTTGTATCCACAGCTTCGAACATGATAGTAAGCTTGACTCAGGGCCGGTCCCGAAAAATGAAAAAATAAAATTGACCCGGTCGAAAATTTACATTTTGTGCCCTATTTTATATTTTTAGAATTCTTTTCCTTTAAAATTATTAACAAATTTAAAAATATAGTGCCCTAAATTTTAAGGTGCCCTGTGCGGTTGGCCACTTTGCACACCCTCCAGGCCTCCCATGAAGCTTGTGATGATCACCCTGGGAGAACTGACCATGCCACACACTGAGACAATTTTTCCATTCCCAATGTGTGCAATCAATGCTCCCAAGCATGCCGACAAAGCCATGTTTAGCGCATGCCTAGCCTGTAATTGCTTAATGTCGCTCAGTGTCGGCTTACGAAAATATCTTATATGATAAATTCGAATAATATCTTTAGAAAATTTATAAACACATGACCCGATGCTCTAGGCCAACATCTTCAAGTATTCGTCGAACATAGCAGATGTCGTCTCGTACGCTATTTGACGAAGCGCGGCAGTGCACTTTTGGACGCCGCTAAACCCGTATCGGCCTCTCACATCAAAGTGTTGGATGAACCGTAACAAGGCACCTCGCGTTCAATATCGGTGAGTATGCGTACAAAAGAGAATGACACATCAGAAAAAAATTACTAAAATCCTCCGGTGTATAAACATAAGGAGTATTGAAGTAGTTGTTGAGTAGTGAAGCGCGTGCAACCGCCCGATCATGGTTTAAACGCTGACGTCAGGTCAGACATCGAGATGATTCCGCTTCTTCTCGTTGGTCTTGTTGCCACCATTGATGACAACCCATCGCGAAACAACGAAAAATGAAAGCTCTCTTTTCATCATCAGATGAAGATGATCCCATTTTTTAAATATTTTGTAGAGAGAATTAAAATAAGTAGAATATATTTTGAATAAATTATAGAGAGAATATGATATGTTGTGTGTGTTGTGTTAAAACTTGTTGGTTCCATGATGTTGGCTAATATTTTGGCAAAATAGAATCTCATATTTGTTAGATGTTTTACTAGGTAGAAACCTCTATTTGTTAGAAGATGTTTATTTTATTTAGACTTCTAGAGCTGCTGTAGTTTTTGAGGTTGACACAGAAGATGCTACAGCACGATGCTGCAACACAGTGTGCGGGATCAGAGGTCTGAGCACGGGATTTTAAGCTGCAATCTCAATTAGAGACCTATTGGGATTGTGATTACATGATAATAACTCCAGCTGTACATGCTAAAGAATCCCAACTCTTTAGGCTACTTGTGGATCAAGATTAAGGAAGTAGAGTTCAAGCCAACTTCTACTATCCTATTCCTACTAGGATTGTGTTAAGAGGAGCCTATAAAAACGCAGCAGGTCCCTACGAATTACTTGGAGTGATTGAGAGGGAAAATACAGAATATACGCTGATGTAGAGCGTTCCCGTCACGTCCCGGAGCTTCCCATGCGTGAAGAAGGTCACGATCTACATGAAGGAGGAGATCTTCAACGCCAAACAGATCGTGACAACCAGCAGATGAACCAGAGCTTAAGGAGAGGCCTGCTAACACGTTTGTCTTCGTGATCTTGGTGGAGATGTGATAGCCGAAGCGGATCTGAACAGAGTTTGGGTTAGAAATCCTAGATTAGAAGTTTTGTCATAGCAATTCGGAGAAGGGTGTCTCATCATGTTGTTATGTACCGGTGTAACTTGCATCTAGTGATTTAGTGGAGGGCTATTACACGGACGTGGGCCCCGCAGACTAGGAGAATTTGCTCCGAACTGCGTAAACATATATGGTGTCATTTTTTACGCATTTTATAGCTACAGCATTCTGCCCAGTAGACGTTGTAATGCTCTGTGCATCATCTACTTTTGTGTGCGTGCTTGTGACAGAGAAATGTTATAGCACACTGTCCATCATCTGTTACTGTGACAGTGATGCAGCGTCTTCTCTACAGCATAGTTGATTGTTTTGTTTGCATCACTCTTAATTGGTGATTTCCGCTGCACCCCCACGAACTTACAATTGGTATCGGAGCGGTTAAGCTTAAGTTATTAGCTTGATCTTTGGGTGGTTCGTTGCAAGCAATCATGGTGATATCCTAAAGAATTAGCACACTTTTTGAAGCAAGATGTGGTATTGATGCAAATCCTGAGGGGGAGTAAATTACAGAAAAGGATGAAGCTCCAGTAGATTCAAATGGGAAGTATGTGCATGGATTGTAATGGTAGATTTTATTTTGCGCTTGTGATTGTTGTACGCTCTTAAAAGAACTTGGTATTACTTTTCTTTTTTACCCTAAATGAGATTGGCATATTTTGTGTCAAAAAAGGGGGAGAAAAGGCTTTGTTCTTAAAAGATGCTTTAATTTTTTATGCATGCGCATGGTGCACGATGTATTTTGCCAAAAATTGCCAAAGGGGGAGATTGTTGGTTCCATGATGTTGGCTAATATTTTGGCAAAATAGAATCCCATATTTGTTAGATGTTTTACTAGGTAGAAACCTCTGTTTGTTAGGAGATGTTTATTTTATTTAGACTTCTAGAGCTGCTGTAGTTTTTGAGGTTGACACAGAAGATGCTACAGCACGATGCTGCAACACAGTGTGCGGGATCAGAGGTCTGAGCACGGGATTTTAAGCTGCAATCTCAATTAGAGACCTATTGGGATTGTGATTACATGATAATAACTCCAGCTGTACATGCTAAAGAATCCTAACTCTTTAGGCTACTTGTGGATCAAGATTAAGGAAGTAGAGTTCAAGCCAACTTCTACTATCCTATTCCTACTAGGATTGTGTTAAGAGGAGCCTATAAAAACGCAGCAGGTCCCTAGGAATTACTTGGAGCGATTGAGAGGGAAAATACAGAATATACACTGATGTAGAGCGTTCCCGTCGCGTCCCGGAGCTTCCCATGCGTGAAGAAGGTCACGATCTACATAAAGGAGGAGATCTTCAACGCCAAACAGATCGTGACAACCAGCAGATGAACCAGAGCTTAAGGAGAGGGCTGCCAACACGTTTGTCTTCGTGATCTTGGTGGAGATGTGATAGTCGAAGCGGATCTGAACAGAGTTCGGGTTAGAAATCCTAGATTAGAAGTTTTGTCATAGCAATTCGGAGAAGGGTGTCTCATCATGTTGTTATGTACCGGTGTAACTTGCATATAGTGATTTAGTGGAGGGCTATTACACAGACGTGGGCCCCACAGACTAGGAGAATTTGCTCCGAACTGCGTAAACATATTTGGTGCCATTTTTTACGCATTTTATAGTAACAACATTCTGCCCAGTAGACGCTGTAACGCTCTCTGCATGATCTGCTTCTGTGTGCGTGCTTGTGACAGAGAAGTGTTATAGCACACTGTCCATCATCTGTTACTGTGATAGTGATGCAACGTCTTCTCTACAGCATAGTTGATTGTTTTGTTTGCATCGCTCTTAATTGGTGATTTCCGCTGCGCCCCCACGAACTTACAAAACTAAGAGGTATTTACATTATTGAAATTATTTTTTTTTCAATTAATGTCCAACGACATTTTTTTAGCCGTTTGGGCCATTGGAAACGGCCAAAACAACGGCTCTCCATGCGTTAAACGTGTGACGCACAAGGGATGACGCCCCCTTAACATTGAACGAGAGTGGTGTTTGACGCCCTTCTGGCGTTAAATGCTGGATTTCGCCCCAGACGTTAGACCCATTTTCTTTGCTTTTCGGATTCTTTTTCTGAATGGGCCAAAAAGGAACGATGGATATTACATTGCATCATTAATATGGAATGACGAAAAAATATTAGAAGTTACATATTGACTTCTTGAAAAGAAAGTTAGAAAATTATAAAATTAAATTTATCTAGGAATGTTATAAATGGAGTAAAGTTTTTTATGGAACTAAAGAAGTAGGCTGGGATGACCCGGGTGCCTATCGTGCTCCGTTCGGAAAATTAAAGGTTCTTACTCCTTCTAACCCCTCACCCCGGCCTGATCCGAATTCACTTAACCACCCGCTTCAATTGCAACCTACAAAATTTAGTTGGCGTTAGAGTTAAATTTTTCAGTCCAAAGTTAACTAAAGTTTGTGGGTTGCAATTGAAGAGGGTGGATGCAGTGGGTGAGTTTGGGTAAGGCCGGGAGTTTATCGGGGAAAGGATTAGGAGGGATTGTCAATTTTTTGAATGAAGTACTGTAGGTAGTCCAATTAGAGTCTGGGTCATAGTATGACATTGAGACCTAATGTGACAAAAACCCCTCCCATACAAATATGTAGAATAAATTTCAGCAAGACAAAAATGTCCTGCATGTTTTTTTACAACTTTTTTAGTGCTATTATTGAAATCAATTCCAATGCAATACGTAGTATCTGTTTATATTTTTTCAATCTATTGACGCACAATAAGCAAATGCCTCGTTCCACATTCTTCGGGGTACGATATGATTCACCCACTTCCTCATAAATCTTGGGGGGGTGGGGGGTGGGGGGTGGGGGAGGGGTAAACTTTCTGTCAGTCAAGTCAAAGAAGTTAGAATTTTATAAAGAACTTTAGTGTTATAAAAATAATACAGTAGGTAGTTATCTAATGATACTATTTAACTTAAATTTTTTTAAAATTAATTTAGACCATTAAAAATAATTCAAGACATTAATTAAAAAATATTGTTCCAAAACGAAACTGAAAACAATCTCAAGCTCAATAATTTGAAATAGAAGAAATAGTCATCATGCATGGCAGAAATGGGCGTGAGGTGGGAAGCAATAGAATGAATGCAGCCTCCAAATAGATCATTATATTGATGTCACACAAATGTATTTTGATTGAAAAACATGCATTTGTATTGAGCGTTGATGTGCATCAAAACATAATTAATGAGACATCACTTATAAATTAATCAAATGTAATTACGTTAAGAATGCATCATTAAGCTAAGTGAAAACATTAGTTCCTATATAATTATTGTCTTTTATTGACATGTACATATTTTCAAGAAAGTATATATAAATATCGGTCCTAAAATAACAATCTCACCGAGTATTTGACGTACTTTTCTTAGCTAAAATTTATAAATTGTGATCATAAAATAAGAAAGTATGTACTCCCTCCGTTTGAGAAAATCCTTCACATTTTGACTCTACGTCAAATTAAAGAAGTATTAAATTGTAGTTAATTTTTAATTTTGTTCTTGATGTGATGTGATTAGTAAAATTAAAATGTAATAGATATATTATTAGAGAAAAAGTAGGATGTGAATGGTAGGGTAAGAAAAAGTAAGGGTAAAAGTGGTTTTTTAATGAAAAGTGGAAGTATTTTGATAGAAAAGAAAAAATGAAAGATGGAATGTTTTGGTGAACGGAGGGAGTACTTCTACATGTTGAATTATAATATACACTTAATACCACTTTTATTTTCATAAATTAATGTTTATTACACTTTTTTTTAAATAAAAGTTGAGTGCCACTATTTGGTGTCCCAAAAATAATTAACATGACACGGGGTGTTATAAATGTTTAAATTATTAATGGCCGTCTAATTTATTATTGAGAGACAAAAATATTCTTATTGAAGGAACAAGTTAGCTACATAAAGAGGGATATTTATTAGTTCATTCCATTATTCCATCTCACTACTTCCAGTGCAAAAAGATTTTTCTAAAATTATTTATGATGTTTGGAAGAAATTTCAATTTTATTTATATAAAAAAGTAATATAAAATTGAAAAAGGTCAAATATATATTCTCCTTTTTAAATAAAAGGTGACAATGTAAATATGTAAAACTATTGTTTTATGAATAGAGCAATATTTTTAGTACCATTAAGAGAATTTTTTTCAATAATGTTTGTTTGATTAATTAATTACGAGTAGTTCGTTAATGCAATATATGTGAGGCATGCGTAGAATAAGGTTGGTTACCGGCCGGCATTGCGCAATTGGCAAAGGTAAGAAGTGCCAAGGGAGTATGACCCGAGTTCGAATCTTGATAACTGTGCTGGGAGGCAACTGTGCTAATCATAAGGCCCCTGCAAGTACCAGGTGTAAGTTTTATTCTTTACCACGGTACCATCAATCTGTGATCAAAGTCTAATTTACATCTTTTCAGTGATTATTAAGCGTTTCTGAGGAGACCCTCTAAAATGAGCTGATCATATTTTATTTTTTATTTTTTTTGTAAAATAAGGTTGGAAGTAGACAAGCTAGCTAGCGTGCAAGAGCATATGTCAAACTGTCAATTAAGTAGTGTCATGTAGTAGTGTCATACCTGTAGGAGTAAATATTGACCTCTTTTAGGACAAGTACAGTTCATACATCCACAAGTGAAAAACCATGGCACAAATAGGCACTATAATCTTTCTCTGATTTATAAATCACTTTTCTGGGTGTTATTAGCTTTCTATAACAATAGCTTTATTTAATTTAATTGTTTTTGTTTACCCCCCTATGTGTTTATGTGAGAAGGTCAATGTACTCACTTGATTGTTGACCCAATTTAGAGTAGTTGGTAAGAAAGACTTCAAACTGCTTCTCGCCCGGTTTCGTTGCAACTAGGTTCAAGTGTTTGTGCTACCGATTTTTGGATTACATACGGTGACACGGTGCTCGATCTATTTGTAAAATTGATAGTTCATATTCTCTTATCTTCTTAAACCCCCACTCCAAACCCACTCCTCTCTCGTGCCTACTTCATCCAAATACGTGGTCATTAGGTAATTACCTAATGACCATATACATTTGGAGAGGACATGAGACATGGGAGAGGTTGGGGCAGGGGTTTAGAGAGGTCAGAGGATTAAGAGTCATCAACTTTACGAACAAAGTGTTGTAGGAGCTTCAAAAAGTTAATGATACCATTGTCTAATGAAAGTATTAGGGATTCAAATAGAATTATTTAGCGAAAAAAAGAGAACATTGAAATGTTTAATTATCGAAAATATAAAAATGAAAGTGGCACATTAAAATATACTCACTACGTCCAAAAAATGATTACACTCTTCACTATTCAAAAGTCAAGGAAACTTTTATTTATTTGTGCGTATTAATTAATTATTTGATAAAATAAAATATTCTTATTTCGAATAATTTTTGATGTACTTTTTAAATATGTAAATTTTATTTTTAAATTATATACCAATCTTTAAATAAAACAAATTTAAAAACTTGAAAATTTGTTTTGTTTTGCGCAAAGTGTAAAATATTTTGGGACAGAGGGATTAATAATTAAAATTAGTTATAAAATACTTTCATAAATAATTTTTTTTAGACTTTTAAAATACCAAACCGCGTCAAACTTCTTTTTTTATGTTGCGAATCATTATCTTTTATTTTTATTTATAAAATTTTTCCCCTCTCCTTTCCTTTCCCTCCATCCAAACACAGCCAAGGCTCTCATCACATAAGGGTAAAATGGGCTAATATAGTGAACAAGGCCCATGAACTCTTCGGCTCTTGAAAAGAATTTGGGCTTTCTTGTCCGAGTCCAAACAAAAAAAGAAGTGGGGAATAACACAGCCCATTCAAGCTGTAACTAGCACTCTAGCAGCGCCTTTAATGATAACGGAGTAAATAAATTGGGTCGGGTCGTCTCCGGCGGAGAGACGATCGGTGGAGGTCGCCACGGTGAAGCAAATCACGGCGCCCGAAGGTGATGGACGACGCAGAGGCCAACTCCTCTAGGTTTCCGCTGCCGGAAGCGCTCCTCGATTTTCTCAATCAGAATGGCATAAACCCTTCCATTTACGCTGCCTCCGATTCAATACCTCGTTATATCAGGTCCCCTTTCGCTCTCACACACACTCTCTCTGCACTTATGATTATTTGAAGTACTTACGGAAAGTTTCGATTTTGGAAGGTTAAAGCCCGGTAACGATGGTACTATAGAAGAAATCGAAGCTGACATTGGATGTAAACTTGAAAAGGTGTATTGGTTGCCGGATTTCTATCATCTTCCACCCGATGTTCGAATTGCTAGCTCAAAAGCATACCGACAAGGAATGGTGAATATTCCTTTCTCTCATACAGTCATACACAACATTCTTACTAGTGAAAATAAGCAGTTTTGAAAGGTAGTTTCTAGACATTTTTTTGTAGCTATAGAGGGAATGTTGTCCAACATGGTTTGCTCTGAATGTTCAGATATATGGAATTGATGCAGCATCTGGAGCTGCTGTTTCAGCTCTGGACATCTCAGTGGGGGATCACGTCCTTGATCTCTGTGCTGCACCAGGTAAATTTTGTTTCTTGTTGTAATAATCAATAATCTCGTACGTGCATCATGTGGAAACTATCTTAAATTTAGGCTTGCGAATTTCAACCCGTGGAGATTGGAAGCATGCATCTTTTAAATTTAGTACGAGTGAAAAAAACATCTTGTGTATTAGGGCATCATTAATGGAGAGGAAAGAAGGGGGGAATAGGATGATGTGAAAGGGGAAATGAGAGAAGATTGATTAGAGAGATGGGTGGAATAGAGGAGAGAGAAGAATAGAGGGGAATATTATTCTTCTACAAAGAGACACTTTCTTATTGTTCCATTACATTTCTAATTCTTATAATTTTTTTTGCACCAATAGGAATATAACATCTATAAAAGATATTGAAGAAAAGTAGAGGAATGATTAGAGTGTGGTGGGGTAAATTGAAGGAGAAAATGGCGTAGCATGGAAAGTAGATGATGTGGGAGGAGAATAGAGAAGAATGATTAGTAATGCTCTTAGTATTGCATACTCCCTCCGTCCCGGAGTATTCGTCCTGTTTTAACTTTTGGAACTGTTTATCTCAGCACTTTGACTCATCAAATTCTCTCAATGTGTAAGCCTAAATATAGTCATGTGTGATCTTGTTTGATTTGTCTTAACATATAGATTATTAATATATAATTTCTATAATTTTTTAATATACAAATTACAAGATAAAATAGATTAAAAAAGTGTATTGAATAGTGTGTAAAAATGAAAGTGGACAAATACTCTGGGACGGAGGTAGTATTAAATTCTAGTTACCATGTTGGTCGTTTTGAGATAACTTGGTCGATATAAAAATTTGCACCAAGTTGAAACAAATGTTAGAACTTGTGAATGGGAGAGTATATTTCGTGTTACAAAGGTGTACCAAGGATTGAGATTGAGCCCATTCATATCTGCAAAGTTATGGATGAGTTAACTCAGAACATCCAAGATAGTATACTGTGGTGTATCCGTGTATTTTATTTACAGATGATGTTGTGTTAATGGAAGATAGTAAAAATAGGTTAAACTCTAACTCTTTAAGTCAGAATTATGGAGACACAAGTTGATATCACAGGGATTTAAGAGTAGTTGATGAAAATGGAGTAGATGGAGCAATAATTTTGTACAACTAAGGTTAAACGGTTTGGAGTGCTGATATTGGATGGGAGCTATCAGCGAGTGATTTTTCAATTACCCGAGTCCTGAGATCTATTATACAATGAAACGAAGATACTGAAAAAGGATATGACATATCACATATAAGATTATAAGACTAATGCTGGTTGGCTCAAAGGGAAAGAAGCATTAGGAGAGCTATGCCTACAAATTGGACCACTAAGATTGAAAATAAAAAATTGTAGGATTTCTGTAAGACCAGTTTTATTATACGGATGTGAATGTTGTACATTAAAGTAAGATTTGATAAAGCTGATGAATGTGGTGGAGACACATATGTTACAATGAATTTGTGGTAAGACTAGAAACAATAGAGTGGACAATGAGGAAATCACGGTAAGGTGCGGATAGACGCTATTGAAGATAGAGGGAGAACCAGTTTTGTTGGTTAGGGCAAGCCAGTTGGCCCAGTTGTTGAGAAGTAGTTGAGCAGGTACAGTGAGTTAAGCGTTGGAATGTAGAAAACTTAATGAGAAGTCGAGATAGACTGAAGATGACATTGATTTAGAGAGTGAAGACTGAAGAAGGACATTAGAGCGTTGGAGTTTAATGACCATACAGTGCATGACATAAAGAATTGCAAAAAGGAAACATTTTGTGGATGATTTTCATGCCCTCACAACTTAATTCCAACGTTATCCGACCCCATTGAATTGGAATTAAGGCTTGGTTGTGGTTGTTCTTGAACGTATTACTAAGTTTTGTTAGTTACTTGAAAATTAACCTTGTTAGGTTGTATGAAACACGACTCGTTTTTTGGGACAATCGTATTTTTAAAAACATAACTCTGTTTTGCTACAAAAGTAATTTTAATTGTTTTTCAACCTAGGGGAACCTATGCCCCCTCTCCTAAGGTAAATATCCCGGTGCTTGCAATCCAATTGAGCCCGACTTCAGTTCCTAATATTAAGCATAAATTTAAAAGTCACATTCTTTAGTTCTATACCTAGAGGCTAGACAACCTGGTACATAGCTTACAGCTAAGAAGTTATAATTTCCTAACAAATGATAGAGTTATTGTTTCCTTCTGTTGTGTATCATGAGGGTGCGGGGATTCTGTGAGTACCAGGAATTTATATACCACTCAAGTAGAACAACAAAGAAATATCCACCAGTATTTTGAAGAACCACTGTCTATAACACCCATTTCTCTCTCTTAATAATATCATCTATCTGTCTGATCTGGATAATCTTGTTTTCTATTATGTCTTAGATACCTGACAAAGCTTATGGTGAGATTTATAATTCTATTATATTGTCTCTAGGTGCTAAACTTTGTATGATATTGGACTGTCTTGGCAGTGATGGTACTGTGACCGGGGTAGATGTTGCCAAACACCGCTTAGCAGCATGTAGAAGCATGCTGCTCAAGTATGGACTGGGTGATCATTGTCGTCTATTTGTTGCTGATGGAACCACATTCTCACTTCTCCCCATTAAAGCCAACGCACTTTCAGAAACACAGAGTGATTCTGGTAAAAACACCATTGCCCTATGTGTTTTGTACTCTCTGTCTCGCAAAAATGTTCCTAGTTTCCCTTTTTGGATGCCTCCAAAAAAATTAACCCTTCATTTCCTTTTTAAAAATGAACATGTGGCTCACAAAATTTATCCCTCGTCTAAACAAATTCCAATTGCACACTTCTCATTTTTCAACACTTTTCAAGTCCATGAAAGTTAAACTAAAGAAATTTTTTATAGGACCGAGGGAGCATTTTATTTGTTCTACAGTTATGCCACTGACATAAAATTTTGTAAAGAAGTGTACAAGGAGTGGAATTCAAGGCGGCCATGGAAAGAAAGGAAAAGGGAAGCCATTGCAAGGGAAAATGGTAGTTGTAAAGTATTTCAACCCACTCAAGAGCCAGAGCTTATATTTTATGGAAGGAATTCTGGGGTAGTTGGGCTGACAAGAAATGAACTATATCAGATGGTGCATTGTGATAATGTGTATGAGTTAGGCTATGATAAGGTATTGTTGTTGTTCTACTTTACCTATTCTTTGTTTCTTTAGGGTGCACTTGGAATGGGAATGATAATAGGGAAAGGAAATATAAATTATAGCAGAGGAAAATTGGAATTAAAGAATATTTACATAGTGAATTGTAGGTTCAAACTTAAAAAACCTAAAAAAGTATACGGAGTATTTTGGAAATTTGTTTGCACTCATATATTCATTTGTGTAATCTAAAAGCAAGCACAAGGAAATAATCTTTCTTAGCATTTTTTTCTTTTCCTATCATTTTTTCAGGATTAAAGCGTAACAATTGTGGTTTAATTTTATATTTCAGGGAATACTCTAATAACTCTATCTTCCGCAATCACCAACATTAATGCAAAGTAGTTTTTAGCTGGACAGTGGGTGTGCATTTTGGTTAGCTTTGACTAAACTGTGCCAAACCAAACTGAATACCCAAACTGAAATTGAACCACATGAAATATGGTTTATTTTGGTATTCATTAAATTTTTCAAACCCTATACTGAACCAAATCAAACCAAACTCAAAAAAATTAAATAAAACCCTATTAAAATCTAACAACCCAAAACCGAAACTGAACCACGCCGAACTAACAAAGTGTGGTTTTAGTTCGGTCTATGTATCCACATTCCATTTCAAACCAAATCGAATTGAACCTTAAAAAATAAACCTTAAATCAAAATCTCCCCGTCTATTACATTCCATCTATTGTTATAGTAATGGTAACTGATTAGCCTTCAAGTTAGGTTCTTGTGGATGCAGAATGCACTCATGATGGCTCGATCAAACATATCCAAAAGTTTGAGCAGTGGGGCTGGACAACCTTCCGGCGCCGTGTATTGGAGGCAGAGAGAACTGATGACCTGGCCATCCTTCAGGTTTGAAAACTTTTAGGAAACATGCTAAGACTATGTTTGGTAGGCCACCAGTTAGCTTATACGTTAGTTATTTGCTTTTTTAAAACAGACTCTTTTCAAATAAGCTGTGATTGCAAGGCACACTCATTTGATAAGTTTGAATTTTTTTAGTTAGCTTCTTTGAGTAGTTTTTCAAAGAGGTTACCGAGTTTTTTCATTTTTAACCTTCCTTATGTTCACATTTTTTTAAAAAAATATCCTTTCATGTCATTTTCAGCTAGTATCCACCAAAAACTACATAAAATGAATAAACTTATTGGTTACCTGTTTATGCAATAGCTAACTTATCAGCTTGTTTTCCCAAACAAAGCCTATACGGCTTTCTTGTTTTGTCAGCCATCCTTGGTTCGTTTGATTATGCCCATCCAGCCATCCTTCATAATGTGTGTGATATTTTTATTTTGTTTCAGCTCCAACTTTTAACAAATGGGTTCAGGTTGCTCAAAGTTGGAGGATTCCTTGTCTATAGCACTTGCAGGTCTTGATTTTTGAGCTAATCAGAACACTTATGGGGTTGCCTGCCAATCCATTCTTTAGGATTACTCACAATTGTTTATTGTTTTTCTTTTTGAACAGTTTAACTGTTGCACAGAATGAAGATGTTGTGGACAAGTTCCTTTCAGAGAACAGTTCTGCAGGTACCATTTGCTTACTAATCCAAATTGTACCAACTGAATGAATTGAAGCATAAAATATCATCAATATGCAGATACATTGTCCAACTAAGTTGTGCCTGTTTTCTTAATGTTGGCAGAGTTGGTTGAGATTGAAGCGGCCAAAAGTTGGCCCTGTAAGAACGGGCGGATACCTAAAACGCTCCGTTTTGATCCTCTGACATCACGCACCAGTGGGCTCTTTGTTGCAAAGTTCACAAAACTAGCCATTCAAAAAGAGCAGGGTTGGCATCTTCACAAATAACCCAATTTGTGAAGACTTAACCCACACTATTATGGTAATCTATTCTTAATTCACATTCTGGCCCTTTTAGTAATAGCTGTTTAGTCAGTCATTAACCTCAATACTCAAAAACCTCAAACATGTCTTTACCAAATACATCCTCTATACTCAGGTCTACGGTTCCATCCTGAATGAAGTTTACAATTTCCTATTTTTTAGAATGTCTCAAAATAAAGTTCAAACATTCTTATATTCGGATCACATGGAACCGGTTGAAACATCAGGAATAAGCACGTGTATGGCTGAGATTGAGCAGAAAATGAAAATTTCTATAGTAATATATGTCTCTGTATAATTCTGAATTGCTACGTTAAAATTAGGGACTGTAAATAATAAATTAAATGTTCACTGGGCGTGTATTAATTGTTGGAGAATAGCTGGCACGAACATGAGAAGTGCCCAAATGCCCAATGGAGAGGGGGCAGCTGCTGATACGCCGCCGCTAATAATCAGCCCACCTCCAGTGCCGCCGCCGCCACCACCACCAGTGGTGGTGTTTTGGCCCCCCGACGTCTTCTCGCTGCATGCATTTATCAATTACTCTTTAGTACGTAGTATAACTTCCATTTTTACCCACGTACATATGATCAGTGTATTGTTCATGACCCGCAATAAATTGAAGATTAATAAATAAAATAGCCGGTAGATTATAACTTTCGCGGTTGCACCTTAAAAAAAATACTCCTTTTATTTTTTAGGTTGAAAAAGTAGTTCAATACACTTCATTTGTTAACTCATCCAACAATAAGGTCATTTTTTTTAAATTTATTCTTAATACTTACCCTGGGTATTATTTTTTCTTATTTGAGATTTGAAATAGCTTTAAATATAACTACACTCGGATCAGATCAGATTAAGACTTATTTTAATGAGATCAGAATCATAAGTAAAGAAAACATGACCAAAATTTAGTCAAAACAAACAAAAACTTATTGATGATGGGACCTTCGGACTTGACACGAAGCTTAACCCATGTCCAGCTCTAGCTTTAGGTCGCAGGGGCGGGGGATCTATTTGTTATGTATGGGGGGCAATGGCCCCCAGATTAAATTTTACAATTTTTTTGTTGATAGATTTGGAGAGTTGAGGTTATTTACTGTAATTTAAAAACACTGATATTTCCTTGGGTTCACTATTTTTTTTGTTTATCATCTTTGATTAGTGCTTTAGCTATTTGGTTTTTAAAAATAATACACTAATTAAACACTTAATACAATATTTCTCAATTTATGATATGATTGTATTGATCCAAGAAAGACTTTTGACTATGCATTTAAATCACTAATTATACTAAGGGACTGTTTGTTTCAACCTCTTAATGGTTCAGATGTCTGAATGGTTCAGCACTTAATGGTTCAGACTGTTTGTTTCAGCCTCTTAATGGTTTAGATGTCTGAATGGTTCAAACATTTGCCTCTGAATGGTTAAGTATTATTCCGTATACAGAGTCTGAATGGTTAAGACCCCTTATCTGAATTGATCAGACATTTGCCTCTGAATAGTTAAGCAATATACTAGCTCTTAATGGTTCAGACCTCTTACTGGTTCAGCACTTAATGGTTCAGACCTCCTACTGGTTCAGCACTTACCTATTCATAAGTTGCCAAACAGCCCTTAACTTTTAAGAACTTTTTTATATAAAAAAAATTAAGTTATAGTTTATTGGAAAACTTAAACTTTTGGTAGGTGATGGGTAATAACCCATTGATTCCGCCCGGTAGGGTCGTACCGACCGGGAGGTATTAAATTCAGCGCCCTGTGATTTGGTCGACCCGGGCAGTCTGACCGGTCAGGGGTGAGAAGATTCGGAATCAGGAACATGGTTTCGTCTGACGAAGGCATGCGTGATGACCGGTTGAAGACTGATCGGCCTGAAGAACGGAGACGTGCTTGACGTGCTTAGTCATTATTATAAATAGGACTAAAAGCCTCATTTGTGGGGCATGCTTTAATTAATCCACACGGCCTATATTTTGTAAACAGTCCTACTATCATTAATAACAAACCAGGTTACATGTGTTTCCACCTACAGCCTTTCCGCTTATTTGTACTTAATATTTGCACGGTATTTACACCATCAGTAGGAACTGAAAATGTTGTAACTACAAGTTGTCAATTGAATTACTTTCTCTACCAGATAAATTTTCTTAGTCTTTTCTTTTTTGTCTATCTAAAAAAAACTTTACCTTTATTTTTCTAAAAAGAATTTATCTCATAAATTTTCTATTCTATTCTCAACAAAAATAATCTAACCACACTTTGTAGTATTTATAAAGTTTTTCATAAGCTTTATGAATACTCCGTGTAAAATAGATAAATTGTTTATAGGGTAGACTATGCACAGGCAGCATGTTCTAGTTAAATTTTGTCAAATTGTGAGCTGGTTGAGTAATTAATTAAATAAAGATTATACTCCCTTCATTTCTGAATATTTGTTTACTTTTCACATTTTTTGGTCAAAATTGATAAACTTTGATTTGAAATTTAAAAAAATGATATTAGATATTGACACAAAAATAATTTTATTGGATTTATTATATAAAATATTTTAAAAATGTTATTTTATCTACATTTCGAATTTTGTCAAAAAAATCAAACTTTGACAAATGCTCCCCGTTTTAAGTAGACTTAGGGAGAATTTACCTGGGTGAAGAAGAGGGGCAGAAGGTGATGACGTAATCCGCTCCGGTGCAAGTGAAGGTGCTGGTGTGGTCGTCGTACGCGTAGCTGTAAGCGAGTGGGCACGCGCGCTTGAACGTCTGAGCGTACTCGCTCGGCACGCAGGTGTCCGGCGTCCCGTGATCCCCGTTGCAGCAGTACTCCGCACTCCCGAAGGCCTCGCAGGCGCTCCTGCAAGCCACCGGCTGATCGTTCCCGGCGGCCGTCATCCGCAGCTCCGCCGGGCAGAAGCTGTTCACGTCGGCCGGGCAGTCGGTGACGCTACAGCTCCCGGTCCCACCCTTCGGGGCCACCTGCATCGGCAAGTTGTAACCGTCCACCAGGCTGACGTCATAAAAGTCCTGCCCGCCCGAACCGTTCAGCGTGAATTCCGCCAGAGTGGCCGGCGGTTTCGCGCCGCTGCCGTTGCACTCCGGAACCCCGGACCCGCAATCTCCGGTCACGCAACTGAATTTCCCGGTGGGATCATTTGAGCATCCACTCCGCCCCCACAGCCGGCCGGACCAGGACGGGGGAACGGTAAGAGACTGCGACTCACCGGGCCCCAGAGAGAAACCGGTGGGGGAAAGCGGAGACGTGCCGGCGCCGGTCAAGATCCCGGGCCAAACTGTGTAGTCACACTGGTTCACGACGGTGAATGTGGCCGGAGAAACAGGGGAAGACGAAAGAAGGAAGCAGAGAGGGAGAATGCGCAGAGAAAGCTGGAGAAATGATGGGGCCATGGAAGCGTGAGAGATTTGCGGGAAAATCTGAGTATTTATAGAGCGTGATTTTCGGAACGAACACGGGAATATGACTGGGAGAAAAAATGGGAAGGCCAGAGTTGCATGTTCTAACCGGCGTTGAAACATGCTGCAAAATACTAATACCGACTAAAAAAGATCGTGACCAAATATATTTTTATGTCAATACAAAAAAATGTTACCTTGTACAGTAACCAAAATATTTCTGCCAAGTATTTCCAATTTTGTGGTAAGAATTTGTAGTTCAAATTATTTTTCAAAATCTACTCTAGAATACCCTAAGAAGATCTCAGGAAAGTTTTTAAGGGGTGACAATTTTGTGTTTAGATTTTTTTTTCTTCTTCCATTTTGATTATTATTATTATTGGTTATTTGTTATTAATTATTATTATTATTTTATTAAAAAATAATTAGTACTTTCCTACTTTTTCTACTCTATTCTTTTAAAAAAATATCAGTAATTGTTATTATTACTTCATATTACTTATTCCCTCCGTCCAACAATAAAGTTTTCGTAGATCTTTGTTCACTTTGTTGGCCTATTTTTGTGTCTTATTTGATAAAATAATATAGTCACGTGACCTCTAGTTTTGTAGATCTTTTCATGTAGTTTTTAAATATGTAATTTTTATTTTTTAATTCCATACTATATTTCATATAAAATGATTTGAAAAATAATTTTAGTCAAACATCGTAACGCGCAATTGGAACTTTATTTGTGGACGGAGAGAGTATTATTTTCTTCTTATTCTATTATTGTTATTATTATTAATGATGGGGGATAACCCCACGTCAGCATATGGCTAACGCCAGCATGTACTTCGCCGAAGGGAAAGCGCTGGGCTTGGACATCTCCGCTCGGCACCCGAGCTCCGCTCGGCCCTCCCGGCTCGACTCGCGAGCTCCGCTCGGCCCTTCCAGCTCAGCACGCGAGCTACGCTCGGCTCGGCTCGGCCTGCCGAGCCGAGCCCGGACCACATGATAGCGACGGGAAGATAGCGACCGGCAACGTTGACCAAGCGATAGCGATAGGATGAAAGGGACAAGACCAAGGGACAGGTGACGTCCGCTAGCCGACGAACCTCGATCAGAGGGCTTTGACTAAGTGTATTCTATCCCCTATAAAAGGGGTGAGACCGCTCATTGTAAGGGATCCGGATTCTAAGTGAATATACTCCTACTTGCATTTTCTCTCTCTAAAATTTATATTATTTAATATTATTACTATTATTATTAAAACAACACTTATTATTATTTAAAAAAAATTATTAGTAGTTTTACTACTCTATTTTTGTCATCCGATGTCTTTCACATTAGTCACACAGTAGTCATCAGCATCCGTCATTGGTAATATGAAACGATAGTAGTGTTAAATTTAATTTAATATTATTATTATGAATATTATAATAATAATAATAATATTATGAATTACAACATACCGTAGTATTAATTTATAACCTAGTAAATAAATAAACTTAGTTTTATAAACTATACATAAATAGATTACTAAAATTAATTTTCAATTAAAGCTTTAGAATGTTCTAACCTTTTTTTACTCAGGTGAAGATTGGAAAAGTTAAATGGGGACATACAAAATTTTTTGATGGGACCTTAGTGCTATTTTGCTAAAAAAAATATAATAGCAAAATTACTAATAAAATTTAATAATAATAATAATAATAATAAATGATAATAATAATAATAATACAAATAAAATAAAATAAAAATAGAAGAAAAGAAAAAATAGAAGAAGAAAAAAGGGGAGGGGGTGTTGTATCGGATGGGAAGAAAAAGAAGAAAGAAGAAGATCTAAACATGGTGATGAAGAAGAGGAGGATAACCGAGAATTGGCGACGGACGGATCCCCGGAGTAATTTTTCGTATATTGCCGCAAAATATATTTTTAGAAATACTGAGACCTGTGAATTCTTATCACAAAACTGAAGGTACCAAACAATAACACTAATTTTAATATTATGAATAATTGTCTACACTTATATGTTAGAAAAAGTTTGGTGTACACCGTTTTAGTTTAGACCACTTTCACATTAAGAACATGTTGTTTCGGGTGGAAAAAAATAGCTATTGTTGAAAAAAATTGTCAAAGTAACTGAAAAAAATTAGAAAAAACTTCAAAGTTTATTTATGTATATTTTACATAGTACTCTTTTTATAATTGTTATTGGTGTTGTTATTGTCATTATTATTCTTAATAGGTAAAAATGAATAAAATTCAAACCCATGAATAATGTATATGTCATTTAATTTAAAATATAGAAATCACCCTTAATATGACTAAAACATAAAAAAGTATCAAAATAGGAGTTCTATACTTTTTTCCAAAATAGGAGTTCGCACTATGGTAATATGCTGGTAATGTGGCACTGTACATGTGCACATTACTATACTTTTTAATAATGTAAATGACCATGTTTGGTAATATAAATGCATTTTAACTCCTATTTCGGGAATAAAAATATGATGGTTCTATTTGGTATACTTTTAGTGTTTTACTCCTACTTTTATCGTTTTTCCTTTTAAATATTGAAATTTTTCCCAGGTCAGGTTAGATTAATAAAATATCCATAATTTTTTGAACATAGTTTAGTGTCATGAAAAATTGAAAAAAGAATTTTTCAAATAAAATTGTATTCTATATTATTTATATTAAAAATGAAGAAAAAATAATAATAAGTGCAAACCACAAAATAGTGACATGGGAAAAATAAAAATTGAAAAGTTGAAATACTTTATATACTATATAAATAATAATAATATTAGTAATAATAGTTGAAAATCATTTTATTTTTAGATTCATTATTTGCGAGTAAAAAAACTGAAAAAATTAAAAGAAATTGGAAGGAATGAGAAGAAACTGGAAAGAGTGTAAGAAACCAGGAAAAATCTAAAGTTAAGAGTTTAAGTTTTAAAAAACGGGCTCTAAGTGTGTAACACGAATAAAAATTATCTATGTGTGTAGATAATTATCATCTTTTTTATCTGATCTGGTGTGATCTAATTTGAAAGTTGCTATAATTAAAATTATCTCAGAAGAAAACCACCTAAATAAGAGCAAAACATATAGCACATCATCAAAATAGGACTTCAAACATAAACTTTTCTAAATGAGAGTTAAATTAATAAAATATTAAAAAAATTATAAAAGCACCACCCACCCCAATATTGGCCCTGTTCCTAAACATTTTCGATCAGATCTCTCTGCCGCCCCTTCCCCGCTTCTTCAATACTCTGTGTATTATAATCGTCGCCACCACCACCCGATCACAGCCCCATCATCGCCACCGCCGAATCGCCGTGCCATGCACCCCCATCCATCTCAGACTCGTCAGCGCTTGCTCAATGCCGATCTCCCTTTTCTCCTCCACCCCCCTTCTTGATTCCATTACAATCATCATCGCCGCCATTCCCCACCCCTCTTAGACTCATGGTCACACTCATGCTACGCCACCACACCTCCATCGCCCTCCTCAAAGCCTTAGTTTCCAAAGTGCGTATATTCTATTTTGATCTTTAATTGAATTTTTTAACTTGAGTTTTGTTTGGATGCTTTGGGACGATGCTTGGTGTTGGAAAAATGGTAGTAAACCACTGACAGGGTCATCTGCCCGCCATAAAGGTGGTTGTGATATGACTATATGAGTGATGGTCGTCTACAATAGTGCAGGGTAGTGTGCGGGCTTGGCATTATGCCTTTGATTGACATTGTAAATTTGCACATATGACATTTTATATGAGCATTTGTGGTATTATGCACGACCATATGTGATATTATGCGTTGTCATATATGGCATTATATGTTGTTATGTTTGGCATTATGCCTTTTTTGACACTATATAGACTATTAATCAGGCACTATGATCGACGATAACAGTGCAAGGTGTGATGATGGTATGGTATGGTGTCAGCGAGTTGAGATGAGTACTCGTTTTTCATGTGGCGGTGGAGGCAGCTCTAGGTCGACAACCCGCAATGATCACTGCAACACGATTCACCATATTTCCATGTTTTACCAATGGTATCAGCAGCACCACCAATTGAAATGATGATTTATTCGTCAATGTGCAATACAAAATGGGTTGCTAGATTTCATATTATACTTGTGTGTATGTGTCATGAATGGTAAGTTACTTTGTAATTTATGTTGGCAATGATAGTGATCGACATTCGACGATAGCAATGGTTAATTTTAATAGTGGTGGTGCGGTAGTGCGGCGGCCGGTGGGGGCAAAGCAGGGCAGCGGTATGGAAGCAGCGGCAGTAGGTGGCAACGGAGGCAAGAGGATCCGACGGTGGTTGCGAGAGGTTGAGCCGTTGTTGCTGGAGGTGAGCCGTTGTTGCTGGATTTCATTTAATTTTTGAAGTTGCCGGAGATTGGGACTTGGAGACAGAGCGCGTAGGCCTAAATTTAGTTTTGCAAAGTGTTAATTACGGCTGTTAAAAAATTGGAGCCCTATTTGTTAATTACTCCTATTTATGAAAGTTTAAGTTTCAACTCTTATTTTGGGGATATGACATATGTTTAATGTTTTAATCATAATTTAGTCCTTTTCCCCTATCTCACAATCTCAGCATTTTGCACTCTTCTAAAAAGTAATACTCCGTATCATTTTTCATTGTCACGGGAAAAATCTCACGTTTTCTCATGTGTGCTAGTTTCGAGTCGTCATTAAAATGTTAAGAGCTATTTAACAGATTTTTTAAGAATGATTGTTTTTCGCAAATAAATGAAAGGCGGGATTATTTTAGGTAAATTCTCTTCTTTTTCATTTTTTGTAATTTGTAACTTTAAATTTTAATGTATTTTTAAAAAATGTTTTTATAAATAATACCAAATTTAAGTATTTTTTAGAGTGACACTAATTATTTTTTTGAATAATCGATAATCCGCTAATACTTTTTTTCCAAAGTAATACTTCAAAAGTTGTGAAATTGCACAATAAATTGTTCTACACAATGAATTTAATTTATTTACTCCATAATTCACTACCTTTTTTCTAAGTTGCTACTATTTTGCATTTCAAATTCTTTTTTGATAATATACTACTCCGTATTATTTTTAAAAAATGGCACTACAGAACTTGTGAGCAATATTTGTAAATCATTATATTTAAAAAAATTGATAAAAATATCTAACAAGAGTGTACTGTTATATTTTTAAAAACATAAATTTTAAAATTAAAAAATGAAAAAAAGTAAATTTACCTAAAATAAGTTCATCTTTTATTTATTTATGAAAAACAAGCATTTTTCTAAAATCCCGTTATGTGGTTGTTAATTTCTTAACGACGATCCAAAACTTTCTCATGTGAAAAAGTGTGATTATTTTCTTTGAAAGTGAAAAGTGCGATTACTTAAATATATTTTTTCTTGAATATAATAATCTGAATAAGAAAAAAAAGTAGGAAGTTAGGGACGATTTTTATTGTATCTAAATCATCACGAAGTTAGAAAGTCATATTAATCGCATGACAAAGAGACTCCGTAGTCTCTCCATCTTAATACATTTGTTCACTTTGATTTTTTGAATCAAACATGATAAACTTTGAATTTTAATTAAACAAAGTTTGTATGTATATTAATATAAAAATAATTTTATTATACGGAGTATTTATCTTGTTGAACAATTACAAAACTTTCCTTTGTTATACTAATATACTCCCTCCATCCCTAAATAAACTTTCCCTTTCGTTTTTTCTGTCCCCAAATAAACTTCTCTTTTCTCTTAAAAAATCCTTTTTACCCCTTACTTTTTCATACCCTACCTATCACATCATACTTTTTTACTAATAATCTACATATCACATCTTACTTTTACACATCACATCAAGGGTATTTTTGGAAAGTCAACACAAAAATATCCCTCCCTTAAATCTTCAAAAAGTCAAAAAGAGAAGTTTATTTAGGGACAGAGAGAGTAATATATATTATTAGTAACTGATGTTCAAAGTTGATCCAGTTTCATTCGAGTTATTCTAATTGGAAAAGTCTCGGACCATAATAGGTTATACAAAAGTTTTTTTTAACTTTTTTGGTGGTTAAATAATTCTCATAAATAGAGTAGCATTTCTAGACAACTTTTTCATTCTAAAAAGGAGTTTTTTTTAGAACAAAGGAATTGTTTGACACGGTAAAAAGTCCTGATTTCATGTTGGCAAAGAATTACGCCTCCCTGTACTCATTATTAATTTTTATTTTGGGTGTCAAAGTATGTTTATTTTGATTTTCAATAATAAATATTGTACATATTACTCCATAGTAAATGACATTACTCGGAATGGTTCTTTTGACCCGCAAACCATGGATCATTTATTGATCTAGACACCTGTTGATAAAATAGATAATTCTTACTCTCTTAATCCTCCCAAAATCCAATCTAACCTCTAAATTACTGATTTAGGCAATTAAATCAGCGATTGATTGCCTAAATCAACACCTATGATGCTTTACCAACAAAGCATCATAGGACCTAGCCGTACATTACTCCGTATTTTTAAATGCACAAATAATTTTGACCAATTTTTGTAAATTTATAATTTCTAAATATTATTTTCTCACAACTCTTACCCTCAGCTAAAAAGTAAAGACAATAGACAAACTAAGTTTTGGCTTGTTGAATAGTCCAAAAGAAACAAAACAAAAACATTGGGAGAGAGAGATTAAAACATATTTTTCTCAAAAGTTATTTAAGAATTATTCCTTGTTGATTTTGAAAAAGGAAACAATCGATTATTTTTGGAAATTAGATTTTTGAGAACAAAATCAACAAATGATTTTACCTAAACTCTAAAACAAATGCAATATCAACGGATTCCAATTTTTAGATTCATATATTAATACGGCAAGATTATATTAACACCAATTTGGGTGACATATTATGACCAGACCAGCCAAACTGAAACTCATACCGTATTTCGTTTAAAAAATTAATGATTTTTATCTTTAACCCCTTTAAAACCCTCACTCTGTCAGTTGAGCACCAATTTTAGTTGATTTTGCAGGCAAAAAAATTGACCAAGGTCAATGAAATTGGGAGGTCAATTGATAGGGGTGGAGTGTGGCTTCTAGTCAAGCAGAGGTGGGTAAATTTTAGCCTATAAAAAATTTTATTCAACTTATAAGCACACAAAAATCCGTCATTCAAATTAAAACACACTTTTACTTTTTATAGAATTTTTAAATAAAAAAAGAAGAAATGGGTTGTTGGAATTTTAGAACGATTTATAAAGTAAAATTTAAAAAAAAAAATCAAAATGAATAGAGACTATGGAGTAACAGTTAGCTTACTTTGGCTACTTAAAGTTCAAAACACAGAACCAATTTTGATACTCCCATCCCACAAGTCACAAACCTAGCACCAAATGGAGCAATGATTAAAACTCTTTATACAATCAAATATGGTTTGTGCCACAGAAACAAATTTAGTGCACCCCAAACATTATTGAATGGAGTGTAACAAATATGCAGTGATTGAATAGCTTTCATGGAATTGAAATTTGGTATCATTACATGTAACTAAACTATTTGTTTTGAATTTATAATACGGTATCCAAACAACCATTGTATCACACGTATCACAAGTCACCAACTTGCACGCCAGTGTATTACAGGTCACACAGACACCTTGTGTGTCTATATAGATTAGTGTGCAAGTTAGTGTACTCCTAATACACCCCCATCAAGAATTAGCCTTAATAACAAATCAATCTCGAACCTCAGGCTCTCAATATTTGATTTCATTTTAAACAAAAGAACACAAAATGGAAGCAATCACATTTTCAACCTCACATTTGGAAGAGCACCCTATGCTCCTCCATTCTAAACCAATTTAGTCCGACAACAAAAATACCCACTGGGTTTGATACCAAGTATTTCGAAGATATACATAGATAATGACTATGTGCATCAAAGGCAAATAGTGTCAACATGTCCATGAAAAACTTCCGATAAAACTCTTGGTATCAAATTTAGTGTGACCCGAGCGACACATCCTACAAATGGAGGTCTGGGTCATATAATAAGTAGCTGTTGTTTCTAATAGACCTCGGCAAAAGGAAACAACGCACATATTACCGCATTCCCACATGAAAGTATGCTCTTCCATTCTCATTGCATTGAATTGGAGACTCAATTCAGCATGTATATCACTCTTGTCCAATATCTTAACACAAGTATGATAAAGCACCAAAACCAAGAACATATTTATTCAACATTCAAAGATAATGCAATTATAACTGTATAACCAATCCATGGAGCAAGCGTATTAGACCAAAAAAGGTATAAAAACAGCAATCAATACCATGAAAACCTGTAAAGCAAGTAGCTGAAACTTATGATGAACAAGAAAGATTGGAGAGCAAACTCAAAAAATATGTTTCGGATGATAGGAATGGAATAGCAAGGTAAAGTTAGGCTTCTAGGGTGCAGTCTCTAGCAAAATGACCTGGATCACCGCAGTTGAAGCATTCATTCGATGTGCCACCTCTGAACCTCCCACCATTGTCACCTCCAGACGAAGGGCAGTCCCGGGCAAAGTGGCCCGGTACCCCACAGGAAAAGCACTTTCCACCACCACTTCCTCCACTGCCACCACCTCCACCACTTGCACAATCTCTTGCAATGTGCCCAGGCACACCACACTTGAAGCAACTACCACCACCACCACCACCTCTGCTGCCGCCTCTGTTCAGGTCGCAATCTTTGGCTAAATGCCCAATCTTTCTACAGTTGTAGCATTCTACTCCCCCTCCTCCTCGATACCCATTCAAGCTCTTAGTATTGTAGTCAACACCTCCATCTTGGTTATTCAGGTCACAATCCCTAGCTAAATGACCAATCTGCCTACATTTAAAGCACTCCGCCCCGCCGCCATATCCGTTCCCGTTCCTCCTGATAGAACCACCACCACTCTGCTCGCAATCCCTAGCCAAATGTCCAGTCTGATTACAATTAAAACAACGCCCGCCGCCGGAACCTCCATACCCACTTCCATTCCTCCTAAGATCAGCACCACTTCCATAATCATTCCCGCTCCTCCTATTCTCACCACCACCGTATCCAAGGCCCTTCCCTCTGGATCGCGGTTCCTCAAGCAGGGCGCCGTTAGGTCCAGTCACTTCGATCGCCTGAAACCTGTCACCCTTCTTGACTACCTCAAATTCAACCGTCTGATCTTTGTACAGGGTCCGGTAGCCCTCTGCCTTGATCGCCGTCTGATGAACGAACAGCGAATCGCCGTTTCCGTCCGGCTTGATGAATCCGTAACCCTTCTGATCGGAGAAGGTCTCCACCGTCCCTCTCATCCTCGTCGCTTCCACCGCCATCGAGATCAACCAACCACTGCCCCCTCAACACCCTAATTGAGATATGAATCTCTCGCACTCCCTCTTTTTGCGTGCGTAGATCATAGGCACATATGTGTGGAATTATATATATATATATATATATATATATATATATATATATATATATATATATATATATATATATATATATATATATATATATATATATATATATATATATAG